ATCTCGGAGGAGGGGAACTTTATCGTCTATATATATATAGTAAGATATGTATGTAAATCGGTATTCATTAAGGCCAATGTTCGTGTACGTATGTGCATGTGATATGTGTGTGTGCGCGAGCGCGCGTGCCGAACAAGTTTAATACCACAAATGAATGTTGTGCCAGACTGCCACCATGTTGTAGGTTATGTTTTTCAATAAAAACATTTCATCGCTCTAGAATTTAATCGGCGATCTGTTGTCGATTTATCCGCGGCGATTCGTCTGCACTCGAGGCTCGGCTGATTTGTCGAGAGAAGGAAAAAAAGAAGCACTCGAAAGCAAAAAAATTCGAAAAATCGTAAAACGATAACATATTGTTGAAGCCGAGGAATAAATGTACAATATATCGCGCTGCCACAGCCGTCGAGCTGCGGAGGCACTTTAGTGCGAGCGTCGATTGACTTGATTGAATGATGAATAGGCATTGGGAATATCCAGTCGCGCCTCGTCTATTATTAAAATTTGTAAACTTTCTTTAATCGAGTATGCTCGGCTTTAAAAAAATCTCACTTTATCGTCGGGCTTCGCTACCGAACTTGGGCTACATGTGTCGGCTACCGAGCGAATCAAAATTTCGTAAAAAATTGGAGGCTGAACTCGTGTCGTAAAATAATTCCATTAAACTTATATTCTTGATATGGCAGACTCGTGCGAGCCACTAGCTCAATCATTACCACTGACAGCTCATATTTTCGAAAAAAGCCCCGACCAGCTCGAATTTATTATAAAAAAAGAAATAATTATGAAACGAATATGTGTTATCAAAATTTTTTTCGTCTGATGGCGCACACGCATGAGCGCACAGACGACGAGTGCCATATCTTAGTGACCTGCTGATGAAATAATCGTTGGCACCGCCGCACGCGCGCCATCGTTCGAAAACAAACGCGGAGTCGCGACTCGTTTTTCCATGGGCTTTTTGTCGAGAGAGGCACCGAACGGTATACGCGCACCGCAGGGAAAGTTTAAAGGGCCAAGGAGAACGGAGAGAAAATGTCGGCAAACGACCACTGACCTGTTCGCTTATGATATTGCCCTCGTCGAGGGGGTAGTCGTCGTAGAAAAGCTTGAAGTTCTCCATGTACTTTTCGTGATTGCTGACGACCTTCTTTTTCTCCTCGGGAGCCGGTCTGATGTCAGTGAGGACGGGCTCCGTGGGTCCGAGGTCGCAGCAGCTACTCCACTTTTTGAAGTCGTCGTTGCAGGCCTCCGGCGACAGGGCCATCATCGTCGGCAGGTCGGGGGGTGAGGCTAAACTTTCCATTTCGAAGCACTGCTATTGTGACAAGGGTTCAAGGGAGAAAAAAGCGCGAGAAAAAGGCACGACTGTGGAGGCAAATTAGCACTGGGCGCGACAATTACGTGCGGCAGCCGTATGGCCTTTTACGCTATCGGCACTCAACTGACTGTAGGCATGTAATGTGTATATCTTATGTCTCCGCGAGAGCCCCACTATAGCGTATACTTTATAATCTTCATGCTTCTTTTCTTCCCGCTAGCGCGAGAGGCCACATATATATACGTATATCTATATGTGAATGTATGCGTATGAAACTCTTATATATAACTTTTTCAGATTGCGCTGCGGCAAACGAGCTCGTGAGTTTGTACGCGCGCAGCAACCGGTTCGGAGAAAGCCGCGGCTCCAACGCTCATTATAATATGCCAAATTCGATGCTGCGTCCACCTCCCCGGCGTGAAACAACCACCACCAGCGGGCCTCGCGATTACGACTCGCGAACCTTTGCTCGAAATTCGCTTCTGTTTTGATTGAGCAATTATTTGACAAGTGTCGTGCGCCGCTAGTGGGGAACGAGACAGGCAGTGCGCACTGGTGGTCGGCTTCTCAATAGGTCGAGCTGCGATCGCGTATATGCTCTATCGACAAGTACGTTGCATGCCGTGTCTGCTCGAGCACAATTGCCTTGCATCGGAGACCGAAGAGACGAGAGCGACTCGATTGCTGTATGGACTCGTCGTGAAGCCGATAAACTTGACACCGGTTGCTGCTGTGTTGCCGATCGCTCGAGCTCTCCGTGCGCTCGCCTCCAACGAGCTCGCGACTTTTCAACGCGAAATTTCCCGCTGATGGAAGAGTACCAGAGCTTCGAGATGCTGAATTAGCTTGCGGTACTCTTATGTCCCGAGAGGCTCGTCGTTAATAAGCTCTCAAATAGCTATATCGATTACCTTGCCGTGCTGCACGTCGCGATAAGTCAGAAATTTTCCCAAATATCATGAATCGCTTATCTGTCTTCGACGAGAAATGAAGACAGAGACAGAGAGAGAGTAGCTATATGATTTCCTTATTAATATACAATTATTTTTATCGCGCATTCTGCAGCTGTGAGTAGTAGAGGGGATTAGTTGATTTTTGTAGCAACGTATTATAACAATTGCTTATTAAAGACTTTAACTGTTTGTATTTCTCTCGTTGATCCAACTCCTTGAAATAAGTCGTACCTGCAGTTCTTGGAACGATGTTAAATAAAAGCTTGATTTATGATTCGGGAATTATCGAGTAAATATTTTTCGGGCTTCAATGAAGAAACACTTGTTTTTATTTTAAACATATAATCTATGTATATTTAATTTGTTCGGTTGTACATTATATATCTCGTTCAACACCGCTCCTAATTTTTTTCTTCGCCTTATTACAGCGTCTTGTATCATTTTTATTCTCTCTTTCTCACTCATTCAACAAAATGCCAACTGCTACATACAAGTCAAGAGGTCATCACTCGCATCGAAATTCTCTGTATAAATATTATAATCATTCATTTTACTCTTCGTTTTCTATAAAATCATCGAAATCATATACGAACGTATTGTTTTTCAAATTATGATTAAGTTGTATGTTCTCCTGAGAGTTAATAATTAGCTGTTTTTTTGTGACTGCACATCAACGTATGTGAATATGTTTATTTCTCACGTGAAATAAATCGTAAAAATCACACCGAATAGTCTTAAAAATCAAGTACACCTAAGTATGTGTATTACATGTTATTCAAATTCATAGAGATTTCCCGAAAAAAAAAAATAAAAAAAATAAAAATTAAGGCATAATTATTTAAGAATTCTATATGAACCATACATTAAATTCGCAAACTTTCTTTTGATGATGATCTTTGATAATCGCATTGAGACTGTTGTTACAAATTCACAAAAAACCCTTTGCTCCGTTTCATGATTGCACAAAATACACATATGTATTATTTGTATATATCTACATATGCATGTCTACAAGTCTACATTTTCTTTTTATTTTATATATTTATATATAATTCGTAATATATAATAATTAACTTTTATTTCTGGTGTCCAGTCTTAACGTGTGAATATTCGCATATATTTTTTACGGATTATCGTTAAACTTGCAATTATATATTCCGAACGATAAGATCATGCGCAATTTTGGTTGCGTATAATGTTAAACGCGGATATCTCATTTTCACTCTTGGCTCAAGCGAATAGTTTTTATAATTGTAGAGCTTGAGTAAAGTAAGACAGTGTTGGTTTTGGCATCAAACGTTAAAAATCATATTTCAATTTACAATTTAACTATTCTATATGCGCAGTAACCAAAAAATGTATAAAATTTATGATTTTAATAATTAGATAAGAAGAACCGGTTACGTCAGTAATGTAATATATTATCTATGAGTTACACCAATGAATACTGCAAAATTTAGCGAAAACACATAGGATAAAGTGAATTTTCAATAAAAATCGGTATGACACTGATAAACATTAATTTCTACTAATCAATGTAAAAATAGCAACAACAATTAAAGACTAAAAGAGTTAAATATTAGAAATTAAAAGGATTTCGAAGCCAGAGAACAAGTTAATTTTCAATGTCGTGTACTGAAATTTCCACCAAATATTTTTCTACAAGACTATGCTTTTTCCATTTTTACGTTTTTTGGGTTAATGTAGAGTCATTTAAATTAATATTGTGTGAAAGTTTCAAATAACACGATTAATATTTTCGTTTTTTATACTGGCTTCGAAGTCCACTTAATTTACTAAATTACAATAAACTAGGTTAGTAACGATCATATCAGCACCTCAATAATTATTATGCGTTCTTAAAAATTATTTCATGAAATAAAATTAATATGAAAAAATGTCTAAAATAAAAATGTACTGTAGAACTTTTTTGTAAAGCTGCAGAGAAACAATTTCTTTCGAAATATCAAAATTTTCTTCCAGGTGGGCTTTCTTAGTTTATACACCTTCCAGTTTCTGTTATAAATTGGTCAAGCTAATTGTTTTACAGAGTTAATACGAAAGTGCAAAATTTCAAGAAGAAAATTGGTCATTTTTACAAAATTTTTTCTCTACATCTCTCAGTCACACAATTTGACATCATACGCAAAGTCGGTAAAGATTCGTAAATTACATTGGCCATCTTAATAAATAGGCCAAATTCATATACATACATGTTTTATTATAAGCAACATCTTTCTCGTTGGATGGCAATTATCTAATACAATTGTTCAATGTATTTTTTCATAAGGAGATTATCTTAAATTTTTTTCTTTTCGTTCATTTAGTGAAAAAATAGGCTATTTACAAATGTTAGAGATAGGGTAGTTTCTGTCGAGGTTTCATCTTTGTAATTTAACTATTTCATTTGTGCGTCGACTCATCAACATTTTTTCAAAAATTTTTAAATACTTTTCAATTACTTTTAAGCAAATTTCATACGTAGATATTTGTATAGCTAAAGTATGCTGAATACAGTATCAAATTTTAAAATCATCAGTGCGTAAAATGAGTAATGCTTCTGAGTTAAAAATATACCCAAAGAATTGGAAGCATAGATTTCAGAAAAAATTGCACTCAATGGCAAACTCGCAAGAGTGTAGAGTGCTCAGATACCAAAATCAATATAATTAGTATTAAAACCTTAGAATTTTACAGCTCGATCAGTAGATTAAGCTCCGTTTTTAATTATCTAATTTTATGAAGTTTTACAATTTATTTACATACGTGAAGTTTGTTTGGATTTTTTTTTCATCGTATCGGAAAATTTACATGTAATTGAAAAAAAATTATTTCATCTCGTACATTCTCTCAAATAATATCTTACAAATAACTTCGTAAAAATACACTGTAATTACAATTCAAGTTATCTAATTTTCATAATAATACTTTTTTAATATTATTACAATATTGATGAGTTTTGGAACTATAAAGCCCGTTTCATCTTGGTTTTTTTCTTGAAATGGACGGGCGAAAATTGATCGAATTCAACAGGTCTTATATGATTATTAGTCATTCGTTATTGCAATGTATTCAAAAAATTGTCTTGAATTTTTCTATAATTATTGACGTTATAACTCATTTATATATTTTGTAAAGTTAGCGAGCGAGTATCAAGTAAGAACAATATCCTAACTGTCTAGTATCCAATGAAACTTTAATAACTAATCTTAGTGATAATAAAAAATTGATATATTTTTATAAATTCATTTTTTCATTACGCTAATAATAGTAAATTTTTATCTAGGAATCAAATGTAGCGAGAAAATAATTGTTATCTTCATGTTTGTCAACGTGCAAGAATATGAATTTACTGACACGTCACTTGAAGTTCATTATAATGCGAATGCAATAGTGTATCCAGTCATCGATAATTTTTTAAAACTTTTCTCACAAAGAGTTCGCGTTTCTACGTTTTCAATTCTGTATAAAAAAATTAGCTTTCGATTTTATGGTTGGCTGAGATCTTCCACGCAATCAACAAATTATTTTTAAATTACCAAAAATATAAATTAATCGAAATACTTATCACCCAGTGAAATAAGTGATTTCCGTACTTACGGTACGTGTGATATGCTACTCGAACACATTTGCTTATCCTTTGAGAAGTGATCAGTCTCTTCTCAGAGCTATCTTTTTAAAATGATATTTTACATTAGCAATTGAAATTTATACGCAAAGTCTTAGAAAAAGTGTTAAATCTAATAGCAGCTTGATTATTTGAAAAATCAAATGTATCATCCATCGATAAGATGTATTTGAAATGAATTAATTTTTGAGATTATCGAGAATTGAGTATGTCTTGAGATTTCGAATGATGAACGAAATCTTACTTCGATTAACTCGTTGGTTTCTTGTCCAAATAATTAATTAACCATTCGTCTATCGTATCTGCGTTCTTTTCCACCCAATACATGTTGAATTTAATTTGCTCGAGACTCTGCTCCAATATTCTCTTTCCACTACCCACATCTATGTCTTTGAAGAATTCTTTCACCTTAAAATAAAGCAAACGTTAAAATGCTGGTTTTGAATGGACAAATGTAAGTTTTGAAACGAGAATGCCGCAAAATACCTCGTGATAGTCGTACTCGGTGAAAAAATCACGCGTCACGACGTCTATGAGTCCACCCATAGTTAAAGATCCATTGCCGAAGAGGCCTTGGATCAAGGGCCAGTGAGCTTTGAGATGCCTCCAAGCCAAGAGTTTGCCTTCGCTATTTTTCGCCACGGCCGCTATCACAGATTCGACGTCTTGCGGTCGGACTTGATTTCTGTCCAGAGTCTGCAGCAAGTAGCGTTGCAAGAGCCAAGGATCGGCCGTGGAACCGAGAGCCTGAAGCATAACTCGCTTCTCGCTGGGATAAATGGTTTTTCGGTAAGTCTCCCAGCAGTGGTTCCACTCTTCCTGACCTCCAAACTTCACACCGGCCGAGTAAACGACGTCCCGAATGTTGGGCGTTATGTTTTTCTGGTGGAGCATCCAATCGTCGAACAAGCTCTTGGCGGGTTTCACGACTGCCTCGAGTTTCAAGTCGACCGCAGTTTGAAGTACCGATATGCGAAGTAGTCTAGCAACATTAAATCCATCGTTATTAGGGTTCCCCAGTTGTGTTAACGTACCTTCATCGACGCTAGTACTTACTTTTTCAGATGAGAACCTTCGTCGTCCCATCCCACGTGCTCGGTTATTGGGGTGAGTAACTTTTTCAGAAAGCTAATGTATCTCTTGTAAGCCGCGCTTTCGCACAACTTCTCCTTCCAAGAATGCAGATACTTCAAAGCCGTTGCCCAAGGTACGTAGTCTTTCTCCTTGAGCAAGTAAAGCGACAGTTCCAGTGGTACGGATGCGTTCAACTCGCCGGCCTTGCACAAAGTGAAAGCGTCGTCGATGAGATTGGCTCGATCCGACGGGCTGAATTTCGTGTGGTCATCGTGCAAGGTCTTGATTATGGCGTTCCACATGTCCTCGGGATAGGAGACTCGATAGAAGCCCGTTTGGTTGACGTTGCACTTGATGTATTCCACTCCTTTGTCTATTTCGAAGCTCACTAAAATTTATCCAACTCGTGATTAGATTTGTTGTCATTGTAGTAATTATTTAACTTGATATATAACAAATACGTACCATCGGTCATATTCATCCAGATGTTTCGAACGTCGCTGCGATTTTTGCTCGTGTAGTAGCTCAGAGGCACGTACCACTTGTAATCAAAGGCTGATTTTGGCTCCAACAATATCGTGTCGTTCTCGTGGGGTGATATGAGGAAACGTTTTTGTGAGGCAGTAATGACGTCGCCGTCTCTAGTTATGGTTATCAGTGGGAAGCCAGTTTGCTGTGTCCACGTATCCATGATGGCCTTGACATCGAAGGTCTTATTTACTTGTTTAGTAAACACCGCCCAAAGGTCATTGGTATCCGCACTGCCGTAGGCGTGACTTCTCAAGTAGTCGTTCAATCCAGCCTTCAGCACGTCCTCGTTGAGAAAACCCTCCAGCATGTAGAGAATCGATGCACCCTTGTTGTAGCTGATGGTGTCGAAAATCGACTCGATTTCCGACGGATCCTTCACTTGAGTGCTGATGGGGTGACTGCTCGCGAGACCGTCCAAATCCAGGGCCGGTTGGATCTTGTCCAGTATGAACTGGTCCATCATGCTCCACTCGGGTGAGATGAAATTCACGCCTTTGTACTCGAAAAAGCTGGCGGCCCCCTCGTTCAACCAGATGTCGTTCCACCACTTCATTGTGACGAGGTTGCCGAACCACTGGTGGGCCAGTTCGTGGGCCACGACCACGGCTACCCACTCGTGGTCGGACGTCGACGTCTCTTTCGGGTCGTAGAGAATCGACGTCTCGCGATATGTTATCAAGCCCCAGTTCTCCATCGCTCCGGCCGCAAAGTCCGGAATGGATATCAAGTCTGTGAAGGATAGATGATGCAATATGGACCAAATACATTTTTAGTGGACTATTTTATGGGGTTTTACCTAATTTAGGCAGTGGATACTGAATGCCGAAAAACGACTCGAAAAAGTCCATGGTCTTGGCTGCGGTTGTCACTGCGTATTGAGCTTGGGGCAGCATGTTCTCCGCCGCATAAACGCTGACACTCACGTTGCGTTGCGTCATTTGTGATATGCGTTTGAAGTCGCACACGACGAAAGCCACCAGGTAAGAAGACATCTCGACGGATTCTTGGAAGTCATCGCGGAGCTGTGAACAGTTTGTTGGCTATCGTGAGACTAGCGCAATGCTGACAATCAACAGCATCCCAGTACTGGATTTATATCCATTTTTTTTCACTCTTTTAAATTTAGAAGAAACGTGCTTGGGCATTCATACGTTTCGATTTTCGTACATGCGATGCATTCCTAGTTGAGTGGAAATTAGTACTCACGAGACCAGTTCCCATGTAAAATCCTGCATCTTCCGTGTTGACGATCGGCATGTTGCAGAGAGCTATGTGGAATCTGTCGCGGAATATGGACACTTTGAATTTAGCCTTGTATTGTGGCTCGTCGAAACACGGAAAGGCCGATCGTGCATAAGTCGGCTCGAAGTGGGTTGTCGCCAGGTACCTGTGACCGTTGAAAAAGCTTTTACAGACATTAATATTTCATCTCATTGATATTAGTTAACACAGTTACAACATCGCAACCTAAATTTCAAATAGAAAACCAAAAATCAATTAAGTATATTTCAAAAGTATAATATATGTGTGTGTGTGTTGTGCGTGTCGATGAAAATAATAATCAAAAACGATATAAGAAGCAGTTTCAACATTTTTCGTTATTTATGACATGCAATACATTTGAATGAAAAACTAGTGCTTTGCTAACTACGGTGAATGGATGAATGACAGGATAGTAGCAAATTAGAATAAACTTCCGACGTTTTTTTTTTTCAACCTTCTGAGTAAACTATAAACTATTTTGTTAGCTTGGAGTTAAAGCAACATTTTTCTGAGAGCTACAAAATAGATTTGATTTTAGCAACTAAAACGGGTGAATCAGCCACCTATGAAATAAAAAAATTATTGAAAAATTTTTTAAAAATGTTTCGGGAATATTGGATTTGATGAATTCAGATAAAAATTAAAAAAAAAAATTAGTTTACAATAAACAACAGCATTTTTCAATTTTAAATATCTTCGGTGGTTGAGCTACTATACAAAGAATCATACAGTAAAGAAAATATTAGCCAAATACTGTCTTGAAAATCTTCACATGATGCGTTATACACTAACATCATTATCGAGTCGGTGGTGTAAAATTTGTTTTTTTTAAACGTATATTTCACGAGCTTATTTTTGAGTCGATGACATTTGCTACTTCATTTTTTATGGATATAATAGGAATGAGTTGGTGTATTCATTAACAAATCTAAAGTGTTTATCCATAATATCTGATATCTTTACATCTTTCGAAAAGAAACTTGTCCGATTTTTCACCAAGTATTGTACATTTAAATTAATTGCATATTTGACTAGTCCAGAGATGAGCTGATATTGTACGCAAAATATTAATGTCCTTAGTAGGCTTATTTTGATTTATAAAAGTCGAAAATGCAAACTGGGAATATGGTGAAAAATCGATCGGTGTCTTTGTGAACTTTATATTTATTTTTTAATATCATCAAAGTAAATTGATAAAAATAAAATAAAAAAAATTGTTATATCATAATGATAATAATAGTAGAAGTATTAGTAATAGTTATATGTATATAAATATACATGGTGATATTTATTAGGTTCCGAACAGTACCTTTTGTCTCCGGCGGCGTTGACATAACTGCTGAGATAGAAGCCCTCGAGTTCGTTCTTCAGCTTCGAGACGAACCTCAAGTGCACCGTGTAGTTCCCCTTTCTGCGGAACTTACTCTCCTCGAGCTCAAGATAAATCTGCTGATGCTTCGGGTACTCGAGCATCCGTGAGATTTTTAATCTGTGCCCTTTACGATCTTGTACCATCTAAAACACGCGCGACACACGGATATGAGTATATGTATCGGGCTTGTTTTTTTTTTCTAGACTTTCAAAGAGAAAAATCGGATAAATACTTTTTCAGCTATTGTCAGATTTTTGCTGTGGAAGACGATAAAGCTGGTCTCTCGATCGACGTAAAACTCAATGGTCACTTGTCCTGCGGAAAAAGTTGTGCGCTATTAATAGAGGGAAATTCTCGTTGATATGCATTATAGGTCGAGCGGCGCGTCGTCGACACGGACTCACCTTTGACCTCCAAAGTCGTCAGATTGGGATGTATGGTGATGTTGTAGCGAGTCGGATGAGCGAAGTTTGGCAGGCGTACGTTATCCCAGGGGAAAATCTGCCATCGGCAAGAAAGTAAATGTATACTTATAGTGAAGCTTTTGGCGCCGGAGGAATGATTTACCGATTGACGCGTAAGCGCGACGCGTGTCTCGAGCAAGCGATGCCGCGCGGGTAATCTGTTTTGCGGCGAGTACAGCTGCAACGCAAACGTATACAGGTATATAATGTACGGGCACGAACGCGCTCAATCAACGCTTACATGATGCTCGACGTTTAACCGGTTTCAGACGAGAAGCCCTCCAACGCTCACAATCGTGTTGGCTCTCTAGTTGACGCTTGCGTACAAAGTTGGGGATTATCCATGCTCGATTGCCTGTCTACAGCCGAGGCAAGAATCGATGAAAAGTTAATCAGACTCTTTGCGAAGAGTCGAAAAGCGCCGAAATAAGCGAGCGAAAATAAAGCGAAGGCGCGCGGGGACGAGTACGAGGATCGAAGGCGCGAGCACGTGCAGTTGTTTACGTACCTCTCCATTGGTCGCGAGTGGCTCTCCAGTCTCTTCGTCGACGTCGACTTGATAGTTGTTGGGTCGCTCTCCGGCACACGGACATTCTGCTCGTCGTCGTCGTGGTCATCGAGGAAAGAAGAATGAAAAATTAATTATAGTCGAGTCGCGGCCCGATCGGGCCAACAGCTCCTCGATAAAGAGGCTGCGAACATTTTACAGCTTAATGAGCATCCGCTCATGGCCCCTATTTCATAGGCGCAGCAGCGCGCGTATAGTGATCGATATGCACGCGTATACATATTTATACAATGACGAAAGTAGGGAGGCATCTCTCGAGCTACAACCTCGGCAGAGTATACGTACGGGCTCTATAGAGTATAGAGCGGACATAATAGACAATCGATTACTCGGCTGCGCACAAAAGCCCAGAGATACGATTCTCGCCTATAGTACATATACTGCGCGCGTATACAGCAATCTTCTCTTCGTGCCATGAATCGTGTGCAGCTGTAAATTTTCGCTCCTCGTAATTCATGCGGCTATCGTTAGCTTACCCGACTGTGGTCCTGCGAAGGCGATGATGAGCGATACAGCGAAGAGCGTAGCGAACACCACCGTCGCCAAGCACAGCGCCTTCTTTTGCGAGCATATCGTCACGCCGTTTTGCTCGTAAAGATTTCGCTTGTGTAGCGCCGGATTCGCTTCCCCTGTTGAGGCGCAGAAAAGAAAAATAATAAGAACGTGACGCTGAAATTACTTTTTTAATTAATGAGAATTTTCGGTTAGTGCATGTTGAGAAATGTGAGAGGAGAAAAAAAACGTGTAAGCAGTCGCACGAGAGTAGGGATGAAGTTGAAAACCCGTGAAAACTTTGTAAAATTTTTCGAATATATATTGTATGCAGGTAGAAATAGGCGAGCGCTCGTACGTACATGCAGTAGCAGTAGCAGCGCCTCATGAAAAATTTCGCGCCGCGTTGAGCACAGCAGCGCATGAGGCAGCAGTACCTACTCGACCTCCTTTTTCTCTTTTCTCTCTGTCTCTTTTTTTTTTTCTTTCTCTCTCTCTCTCGCGTCGTTCGTATTTACGCGATTAGCAAAGACGCGTGTAAATATACATGCATGCTGTATATACTTTTTCACAAGTACCTTTTGTATGTACACGAGTGAGGGTAAGGTGTTATTCGACAGATACATCGAGGTCGAGTGCCAGGCCGTATTAATTCGTTAAGGGAAACGAGCTTTCTTCGTCGCATTAATAATTTAGCTATCGATGATATTTTTCGAGCCCAACGCACGAGCTCGTCGTAAATCTTTCGATGCTCAATCAGAGGTATGAAGTTTTGGCACGGTATTACTCTGGCGAAGAAAAGTCACGTGCAAACGATATCGGCCTTTTTTTCTTCCTCCTAGCCGTCGCGTTAGGAGGCAGTCATTTTTGGCACGCGTTTATATACTCGGGGAGCGACACACGGGGATCGTTGCCGCACGCGACGAAAGAAAGTAAAGAATACCTCTGGAGGCAGACGTATCCAATAGGATCGTCGTCATTTTTCTCTCCGCGTATACTGCCGAGAACATCTGCCCACACGTACATGCGCACAAAGATCCCCGACTCTACCGCTGCGCTCGAATTGTTTGCAAAGAATTGGGATTTAGAACAGGTGTCTCGTACATACGGACGTACTCGTTATTACGTGCAGCAGAGTGAAATATTGTTTTTAGCGTTTAATTCGTTTATAAAGGCCCGGCCGTCCTCGTTTTCGCTCGTGGCCTATCTCAAAGAGGGGAAGAAGGAAGAAAAGAAAAAAACAGTCGATCGTAGCTAGCGGCGCAGCGTTTAAAAACATCAACTCTCGAGCTTTCATTCAAAGGGAACAAATCGAAAAAAGAAGTCGAGCTGCTCTTATCTTAATTGCGCGCAGGAGGCATCGTGCTTTCGTATAAAAATCATAAAGCTGCGCCTCTTTGCGTGGCATTAATTAGTTACTCGAGAATACCTTCGTTGGAAAATAAAAAAAAGAGAGAAAAGAGGAAGGGAGGCACGCATATTCTCATCCCCCGTTCCCCCGGCCTCGCATTACGCGGGCGCGCGCGCGATATTATTATATCGATCCGCGGCGCGAAACTGCAGACTGCAACACACTACGCTGGCGGGTATGTACGAGAGCGCGCACTGCTCCCGCTATCTCGCCGCTTTCAGCCGACGATGCATAAGTGGGCCATGCGGTCGCATTTATAGTCCACATGCACATATAGACGCGCGTAAGCATTCGCAGAGTGTATGTGCGGTTTTATACACACTGCTGCTGCTGCTGCTACGGTGACTCGTAAGCCAAGCAAAAGGAGAAAGAAATAGAGCCAAGGGTGAAACGACGATATTTCGCCTTTTTTCTCTGGCGAATTCTTCATTTTTATTGTCGTGACGTGCGATACGTGGCTGTATAATAATTGTCAGTGAATCTCGGCGTTGTCGGCCGAGGCGCCAGAGACAGGATTCCACTTTTGGCCAATCCAATTGAATTATTGAAAAAACCAATGCATATGTAATTAGAGTCGATAAGCATCTAAGGAGGTCATTGACAGTCGGCCGCGTACTGCTGCTGCTACTACCACCACTACTACCACTACTCAAGCGGCCACGAGGGTAAATTTATTTGTTGTTAGGACCTTCGTGTTGCTCGCGCGTGTGAATCGCCCGGAACGAACGATTTAACGGCGCGCACGACGAGGAGTGGGAAGTAATTAGTCAAGCGAGCCTCGACCTATGCACTGACATATATTTTACTATTATTCAATGAAACAGGCATACACACACAACGCACAGGCTCTAACACGTGTTACGTATGCCTATACAATACACGTATACATACGTTTGGCACAAGCACTTGACTCACACTCTGATTTTAATTAAAATTAATTGCGCCGAGCCTTCGTATTTTACAGCTACGTTTATACACCTAAATTATTGTTCGCTTTTGTAATACTTTATGAAAAACTGAGATTGCAAAAAAAAAAAAACAAAAAAATTGAAAAAAAAGTAGCACGTGTTGGTGTATCAATTTTTGTGCAGCGCAGCCAAAAGTGTCAAAGACTTCTAGTAGGCGTAGACAAAAAAGCTCAACTGAGCTGCTACTCCAGCGCGTGCGAGTTTTAGTTTGTGTGCATAAAAGAGAGAAAAGTCTGCGCCGCGCGTGTTCCACGGTTGTGCTCGGTGCAAGCTCACCAAGTAACATCTTTTTTTTTCACATGCTGCGACAAAGGCTTGGGACCTTTGAGTACGTTTTTTCGTACGTCGAGAGGAGGTCTTAGGGCTGATTAAAGCTTGACTCGCATCACTCGAAGCATGGAGGAGTGTTGCGAGAAGCGCAATATATTATGAGCCAATAAATCCAATTCAGCTGTTGGAAATAGTTGCAGTTTGCCCCCCCCCCCCCNCCCCCCCCCCCCCCTCGAAAGCTATTTTTCTTTTTAACTATGTGAGTAATTTCCATAAACTACTTTGTTGCGCTGCCAATTTTTGTAGAATTCACTTGGCGCGTATAAAATTTGCCCTGCGCCTGTATGCAAGAATACATATATCTAAAACCATGGGAATTTGAGCTCGCGAGCTAAAACAATTCGCTTTATTAAAAAGTCTTAATTTTTTAATCGTGACTATCAAAGACTCTCGCTGCTTAATTCGACTTTTAGCAAATCGCACAAAGCTGCTGAAATATCGTTCATTGAAATTCAGCTGGCGAAGGATCGCACGTACGCGCACACATGCCAAATATCGCACGGGTGGATTCTCAATGCCTCTCGTCTGTATAAATGTACACGTATAAGCGAGCCGCAGAATTACAATGTAGCTGCAGCTTGGCTAGCTCCAGTAATTACTAGCATATATTATTCCACTTGTAACATGTGCTTCCACATGCTCGAGTTTTCAGCTCTAATGCATACTAGTGTTGTTTTTTTTTCGATTTTCATAAGAAAAGTATGCATGCGGTTTATCGATTGGTGCGTCGTTCGTTGTCAGTTCATAAACATCGCTGCGTATTCTGCAGAGGAAAATTGCAAAAGGCACAAAGCCCGTCCCGCTGAAACGGGCAGAACGTAATTGAAGGTCTGGATAATTCGCAGCCATCAAGGCATGCCTAATCGAATCGCTTCGATATAATAAGTGCGCGCGTGCGAACCCCTTTTCTTCGCGGCCAGCTACGTAAAATCTCGTTTAGCTCAAGATGCCACTTACGAAATACATTACGGAGGAAAAAGGACGAGCGATGAATTATTACGGGGAGGCTGGGGCTATACGCGTCGGAGGGTGTCGGAGCGTCGAGTACCTGTGAGAAAAGCGACATCGTCGACGTCCTGCTCGCTCATGGCGAGTCTCGTTGGTGGATGTTGACGCTGCTGCTGTTGCTGCTGCTGCGGGCCGCGTTTGTACACGAAGCCCTTCACATCTTTGCCATCGTTGGATGCATACGAGATCTTGATGAGAGGCTCTCGCTGCTCGGCAGATGCCAGCTTATCACCTTTGTTCTCCAGCCTTGCAGCCTGCTACGACTGCCAGCCGCACGGACAGCCAGACACGGACGGCTCGTTCCAGCTCCTCTCCTCGGCCTGGGGGCTCCCTTGGCTCCTGGCGGCTAACGAACTCGCTGCTGCTGCTGCTGTTTTTTTGCTACACACGGCACACGCGTTTTGGCGAAACACAAGTCGTTGAGCAAGTCGAGCTCGCGATACCCTACGTACGGACGGAGACGTGACGGACGGACGACGACGACGACGACGCGCCGGCGACGCATCTCGGGCCGGGACTGCTATATAGCTTCTCTCTTTCTCTCTCTCGAGCAATGGCTGCTGCCGCTGCCGCCCCTAGCTAGGATGAGCTTTTGCGCCGATCTCTTTCTCTCTCGCTCTCTCTCTCGTTTCCTCGTGTGTGTGTGTAAGTGTGAGTGCGACGCAGGGGAGAGAAAGCTCGTTGTGCGCGCCATCTGATGGTGCTGCTCTCTCTCTCGCTCGCTTTTGTCGCTATCTACACCCTAGGGGATGAGGCGGCCGAGGGGGATGACGGGGGATTCGTTCTTTGGCCTGCGAGTTGTTGTGCGCGTCTGCGTGCGTTGTTAAGCGCCGTCGCCACCGAGCTTGATCGCGACGGACTACTCGGCAACGTCAACGCGGCTCCGACGATTTTCTGCTTTTTTCTGCTTTGTTTTTTGCACCATTGCTTTCCGACGTATCGTCGGATTTCGAGCCCAGAGGCCATGGATGCCGAGCGAGTGCATCGTTGCAAAAACGCACGAGCGCATCGTCCCGATGCTCGATCGACGCACTTGCGGCGCTTTGAATCGCCGTTAACCTGTTCTTCCCCCGCGTGCACACCCCCGCACTGTCGCGTTACAACAGTTACGAAGCGCCGCAGCAATAATCGAGCCGCCGCTGCTGCATAAGCCTCGACTCGCCCGATAAGCGTCGACGACGACAACATCGAGGGAGCGCACTGCACGGTCGCACGACGACGCGCCGAGAGAGATTACAGCTGTGCAAAGCTCGCAACCCCTCCGAGCCATTACCAAGGGAAATTGAAATATTTTGACGCGCGACGATCGAGCCTCGATTCTAATGCAGCGTCTAGCCGAGCAGCTTTTATTTCCGAGCAATATCTAGACAGCCGGTCGAATTTTCCAATTATTACGTGTCTGCCGCGTTTGCGGCATTTTCCATGCGGCTAACCATCTGTTGGTATTGCTCGCTCGAAAATATCTTGCCAGTCCATGGCGGAATTTTTCGCGCGAATTTTCACCACTCAACGATCCGATCGATTTTCGCATGCTCGAGTACTCGAGCAAAGAAGATTAATGAGAAAAATATTTAAATTTCCGAATTATGTACTGGCTCAGGAGAACTAGACCGGTGATACTTTTGCCGAGTCTTTGGGCTGGCAGCGCCATCGAGCGGACGACTGGGGCACTTGTCGCGCCCCTTCGCGAGCAACCCCTCGCCTCGTCTAGACTCGTTTGAAAACGTATCCTACGGTAAGTCCGTGCGTGAGCTTGCAAATCAATACACATGTATTCCATTGGCTCTGTTGCGCCGATGGAAGTGCGAGTACGCAGCGAGAGAACATTTATTGCTCCTTCGCGAAAGAGAAGCGAGCTAATTGAGTTTAGGTGCGATAGAGAAAAGTGACTAGATATTGGAAATAAGATTGTCTGTGCTGCTGTCGGCGCACGAATTTACATTCACTTACTCTACCGGCTCCCTTTTTCATTCAAAAATTGTCGGGGCTTTCATTCATCGGAATCAATTTTAAAAAGGAATCCTTTGAAGTAGGAGAGAAGATGCACATTTCGTTGTTATTTTCTGAGGTACTTTCAAAACTCGATATCTTTTGCAAGACTACCCTAGCAAGCGTAGAAAAGTACACGCAGCAAAATGCCTTTTTTGCAAAAAACGCGCCCCAAAGGTCTGCGTCTGACTGCAATCATTGCTATAGGGTCACCCACCCTCCATGTCTTTCTCTCTTTTAGCTGGCTTATCCCATCTATGGGTGAATCGCGAATCGATCGCACAGGCCGTGAACGACCTGTGGGTGTAGTTTTTCTACTCGGCATGTGCACGCGCGCCCGCTTTCACTTGTTACACTCGAGTCAGTTTCCTTATCTACGTTAACATGTGCGTCTTCCCTTCTTCTTTCTCTTCCTCTTATTTTTTTTTTTTTTTTTTTTTTTTTTGACCAAGAAAAATGAGTCGATCGTGTTAGAGCAGCCGCGAATAATCGAAGTAATGAGCGACAAAAGGGAGAAGAGAAAGCAGCTGCAGAGTTGCTTTTGAAGCCGAGCCGAAAGAGAACTGCGTGCTCTCTCTCTCTCGCTTTCTTTCGCTCAAGAGGAGGGTTAAGTCGAGTGTGCGTTCTTGATTATCTGCGCCTTTGTTGCAGATAAAGAATGCACTTGGGAATGCGCACGATTAGCCCGAGGGAATGGTGGGGAGCCGAGCAATTTCCAGGGCCAATTATGCACTTGCTTCTTGCGCGATGCTTTCTCTCTCTATTTTGCTTTGATTTTCTTTTTAACGGCTCTTGTATCACGATTATGTAATAAAATACAAAAGTCCTTAAAGTGCAGCAGCCGATATAACTCAGATGGAGCGCGAGGGGGGCCAGAGTAAGCAGAGTCTGAGCGGTCCCTCTCTCGTGCTGCAGATGCCGCTATATACCTAAGCAAATTCATCTTCTCGGCGTGGGCTTTATTTACCTCCTGATGCAGCAGTCGAGCGATAAAAAAGCTCGACGCCGCATCTCACATACAACTCCAGTAGACTAATTTAGCTCGGCAGCATGGCGTTTTGCGATAGAGCTCTTAATATTGTATATGAATATATGTATGTAAGCTGCCTGGGTAGTTTATGCTTAAGTACATACTAGCTGGGCTGAAACGAAACGAGCTTTCGTGTCGGTATCGAGTTTACGACGTTTGCTCTTTGCTAGCCTCAAAGTGCAGACGAGGGAGCATGCTTTCGTTATTCCGTCGATAGATCGAGCGCATTTTGTCCCCAGACGTCCGGAGTAATGTAAAAATTTAACTTTTTCTTGTAAATGAAGCATCAAAAAGTAGAACGCGTTGAAACAATAGCACTCGACTATTTTCAATCTTAGCATTATTCTTTGCTTTCTAGTTGACTTGAAATATTCGACGCGCGATCTTGTTCGAGTTATTGAATCAACGCGTTTCCCGCGCGGTAATAGAAAAATATTAAGATAGTCGAAACGTGAGATGGATCGTGCGCGCTCGGTTTTTTTTTTTTCGGGAAAAGCTGATCTCGTTCCGGTGGCAGCGCAGGAACGTGCAAATATGTGTATGTGTGTGGCCCTAGGCGTATATGTACTCACCTCTGCCAGCCTCGGGGTTGGCCGTGCCGTTCTGCCCAGGGGTGCGAGAAGAACTTGTGGTCCTTCCTCCCAATGGCTCTAAGCGGATTGCCTCGCTGCTCGTGCGTACCGAAGACGTCGTCGTTGGGCCGGGCATTTCTTATCTTGGACGATAACGATCGGCTTTCTCGATACTCCTACGCTCGCACATCTACTGTCTTTTCCCTCCCTTATCTGATATTGTTGGATCAAGTGCTGCTATGAATTAATCATAAACAGGAGACTTTTTTATTCAAATTTTAAATCCCTCCGAGTGTAGCGTGGCTCAGACTTTTTAAGCAAAGCGAATAGCTGATGTAGAACGTTTTCTTATGCGGTAAGCTATACTGATATCCAATCTTGTTCCCTTTTTTTCATTTGTTTCTGGCTGTGCATGCCATTATTTTATGGAGTGAGTGACGACAAATAACGATTAGCTAGTGTAAATATATATTTGAGTTAAATATATTTTTGTTCCCAAGCGATAAGTTTTGTATAGAATAAATAGAAGTGTATGTATATTGTATGAATATAAGGGTATTCTTGGCACTTTGATTACTATTTTCTAACAAAAATATCCTCTACTATAAATCACATCATCTAAGGACTTATACCGTCTGCAGCTTCAAGCGATACACAAAAAATAATCGGCAAGTCCAAAGCAAGACGCAGAAAGATGTATTGAAAGCAGACAACATTTTTTTGCCTTACTCCTTTCTATGAAATCAATTCACTGGTCGGTTTGTTCGATTCTAGGGAATCATGTTCATGCAGTCTGTTGGTTCCATCCACCTGTTCATTTCCTTTCTTGGCCTTACTACTCTGCAACAAATAACGAACTATTTTGAATATCGTGATTACACAAAAAAAAGTAACTTGACTGGCAGTATATATTTTGGAAATCAAATACGTATGATTTAAAGCAATTTCAAGCATCAGACCATTTTCGAATTCTATTAATCGAATTATACATTTCTTCAATGTTGAAATTGTAATTCTATGTTAAAAATATTTAAATTAAAATTATTTTAAAAATGAAGGAAGTTTATTTTATCAATATGCTTTTAATTAAATTCAAAGAGTACTTTATAAATTATCACCTTTATTTAATCAATTAAAATTTAATAAAAAAAATAATAATAATACGTTGGATTTCATTCGCAACGTTTTCGAACCTCTTATATAATTTTAATTTTACTTTATCACTAACAGATTCACAAATAATAGTACTCGACATCTAGTACTTGAGGCTGTCTTAAATCACAATTGAATTTTTGACTATTGGAAACAAAGTATGTTTTGATTTTAATATAGAATTAAATCTTTTTTGTTAATTTTTGCATTAAAATTATTTATGTAATTGCATTTTTATTAATTTCAATATTGGTATCTAAGTATTGGTCACTTCGATTTTAATGTCTAATTTAACATAAAATCTGTATTAAATATAAGGTTTTTCCCAACGATGTACGTTACATTACTCGTGAGCGAAGTGCATGTCAAAAAGACAAGTAAAAGAATCATCTCGCTCGCTGGTGAAATAGGGTAGTATTTTTGGCCTGATACTTCAAGTACAGGAAGTTTCTTTTTTAATACACTGGGCCTTGTGGAAAGTGTATTGTACTCGAGTTGAATTGAAATACCTTTCGCTCACAAGGCCAAATAGCAAAAAAGAATTTCCCACACCGTGTGATAAAAAAAATGTTACGCGACAATTGTTCTCGTTTTAGTTATCTTTGAATGATAAAAATAATAAAAACAGCATTTTGAGATAATTATTGTTTACATTTTTTACTCTGTACTAATCAAATATTGGATTAAAATTTCAGAATTCGAGGGTACCAATTGAAAATTGTAAATGTTTTTAAAAAAATGAAAGGCATGAACCTGAATGTGTCAATATGAAATTTCATGCGATGGTCCTGAAATATTTTAACTTTAAGTTTATGGAAAAAATTAAATTTGCAAATGATGACCGAGTCAAGAAAGTCGGCAATATTGCAATATATAAATAAATGCAGGACTATTAAAAAGCTTCATTCATCATCCGAAGAGAACAAAGTGCTAATTAAAATAATTTTTGTCTCTCTGAAAATATATATTGAGTAAAACAAGCATTGCATCTTATATATTATTCGCATGCATTTTCTAATTGCGCTCGGTAGTGCCCTGTACTCAAGCATCTCAACGAGCTGCCCTTTTTTGTTACGAAAGCCTTCCCAATTACAGTCATTGGCATGGGCGGTTTCGAGTCTGCATGGCTACCATAAACTAACCCAGTTTTTTTATTACCATCGCCTGTAATGCGCACTCTACATCTCATGTACTTGTGATTTTGCATTTGCATAGTAGAATGTACCTTCAGAAAATTACGTTTCATCTAGTCGTTCAAAAGCGAAAAAAAATTTTTTTTAGCTCAGCATACGTGAAGTATATCACAAGCAGTCCGAGAGAAAATTCATTCGAATCGCGGTCGACACGTAAGTATAGATTAAGCGCACTTGGAACACGTAGTTACGAACAATAGATGAAGATTTTACCGATAATAATATATATAATACATGAATAGAAAAAAATGGAGGAATTAATCTACCCAAAAATTTATTTCCCGGAAAAACTAATACGAGAGCGAATAAAAGGCTTTTATATCTCGGATTTATTTTTATTCTATATTTTCTTATTAAAAAAGACCAAATAATCGTCACACTGAATATAGAATTAAATTTTTTTGTCATTCAGTGAAGCGAAAAATCAGATTAAAATTTCTTTAGATACTTACTGAGTGTTAGTTTTTTGACTGATCAATCAGTATGAGAAAAAATGGCTGAAATATTTCGCGAAGGTAGATGGGCACGTAGTTTTACGTATAATTTAGAACGCGTACGTGTTGTTCAATAAACATTACAAGCTTAAATCGTTGAGCACGTTACGACGATCTCACGATCGTTGCTGGCCGCATTCATTGGCAGTCAACATTTTTTCAATTCGGTTCGTGCTCATTTACCATCACATAGACTAAAATACTTCCCATTTTAATCTTATATATGCCAAGGTCTTGTATGCAAACGTGAGCTTGCAAGATATTTGGTACTTTTCAAGTAATAATGAATTCAATGTGTTGAGGTTAATCTAATAATATAGTTTAAACTAACTTTTCGTACCTAAATTTGAAAGTATAGATATTTTAGTTGCAATTTTCGATTCCTATTATTTCCCAGGTTTGATTATCGCAAAAATTGAAACTATTATTAAACTATTTTTTACGTCATTTTTCATGTTGATCAAAATTTTTTTACTAAAATATAAAGATCTATAATTTTCAATAGGATTAAATTTATTTTTTAAGAATTCATATTTTTCATTTTTATAAGTAAAGTATGTTTATAGTGGGGCCAATCATAAAAAAGATTCATTCTTTGTGAACATATAGATTTTCAACGAATGTAGTACTAAAAGTGGAAATTTTCTATGATTTTATTGTGTACTTTTATCAAGTGCTTAGAATTTTAATTTTTAAAATTTTTCTGTCTGTTTTTCTGTTTAAAATTTAAATGTCTTAAAAGTTTTTCAAAAGTAAAATTTTTGAAGTAGCTTTGTGGGCGAATACGATTTCATATTTACACAAGTAACGCTTGAAATTGCATTTCAAAGGGATATTTTCAAATAAAATTGTTTTTGTTATGTCGTAAAACACAAATTGTTGTATAACTTTACAGCCTGCAACATAAAAAGGTATGAAATATTTTTTTCACATGTCGCCACAAATTTCAAGCTTGACCGCACGTTGAAATAAGATATTTGGCACGTTTTATACTCTACCAATTTCCTAACAAATGTATTTTCTTATTTACGAGTTTCCGGCGCTCATTTATGCTTTCCAGTTTCTTTTGAACCTTGAAAATTATGACATTTGTAGAACTTGGCAAGCCGAGCTTTTGACTTTGCGTGCGGATGCGGCAAGCCGCACGATATGCGTTTACAAACAATCGTCTCGGCCTTTGCATGCATGTGTGCCTATGTTATTATTTTTAATTCCGTAAAATGTTCTAAATTTCCACGTGGATTTGTGTATTGTTTCGGCATTTGATGTAATCAGACTTTCCGTTATGTAATTCACTCACATTGACTCAATACTAGTGCTTCATTGTCTACTGAGTTCTGATATTTAAAAATTATTCAAAATTGGTTAACAGCGATAAAAATTCAGAAATTCTCGGCAAACGATAGACTAATCAAAGCATCAAACAAAATGTACATAATTACTTGGAGCTTTTTAATCTTGAAAGACTTTAGCTACCCTTATTGAAAAGTATCTCCTTGAACGTGCACACAAACAGAAAAAAAACCAACAACTCACGCGCACTTTTTGTCTTTGCCTTTTACTTTTGTGTCCCCTCGCGTAGTATTTTGTTCCGCATCCTGAAGGCAAGTTGATTGGATAAAATGAATGTTTATCACAGATGGCCGGAACTTGCAGATTTTAAATTCAGCGACGTTGAGCTCTGAGAAGGAATGCCCAGGACGGTTTATTTTTTATTTTTGTTACATTGGAAAATTGTATCAATGAACATTCACGTTAGAGCAGAGCAGATAAAATGCGATGCTGAGCGCCTGGCGGCGACACTGGCACTACTGGTGCCGCCTCGCTTATGTGCGCGTTCTCTCTTCTCTCTCTCTCTCTCTCTCTCTCTCTCTCGCGTGCGCTGCTGCTGCTGCTGCCCGGCACACGCGGAGGGGTGGCTTTGTTGGAATACACACACACGCAAATATATATCTGCGTGAGTCTATGCGAATGGAAGGAAAAAGCTGGGAGAGATGCTTGTGTAAAAATCGCGGAGTTACAGCGCATCCAAGGATGCTACAAAGATGTTTAATTTCATTGTGTCATGTGCATTCAAATAATTATGTACATTCGTGCTAGCCTGTGTGCCTCATCATCATAATGTTTAAAAATAAAGTGACAAGGCTTATTAATTAATTTTCATCATTTGATACAAATCAAATATATCTATCAATTAGTTCGACAGCTAATATAAAAATTTGCTTACAACAATGACGGAAATGATTTGATTTTAATAATGGGTCATGCAAATTGTATCGCGTTAAATCTGATGTTTTAGATATTCTATTGATACGGAAATTGAACTGTCACTTGCGACTGATGAAAGAACAAAGGCTTATTTTATCACTTGAATTTTTTTATAAATATAAAATTTTTTTTCAGAGTTTACACGAACCCATAAAATGTATAAATCAAAAATATTTGGAAATATTTCCACCCAAAGTTGCTTTTCACAGATGTACTAAGGATTCAAAGCTAATGAGAAATTTTGCAAAAATTCGTGAAGATCATTGCCTCCCATTCATGTAATAATTGATAACAACCTTTCAATTAATTGTAATGGTTAACTTAAGTAAAACAATATAATCGTTGCTATAATGCCTCATTCGGTAAAAAGTATTTTTATTCATCGGTATTGTCTAGTTCAACAAAAACTAAAACTATTTTTGAAACGTTTATAATGCTTTTTCACATTAAGTTTCCTGAATTGACGCTGCAAGGATTCAAGGGTGCGAAAATCGACCTCTCATTTAATTGACAATTTGAGAGTGAGAATATGTTGTGAAAAAATAAAAATGACTACACATGAGTGCATCGTGAAATGTGTCAAGTATTTTTGAAGTAAAAATTCTGGGCACACTCGTGCACGCACATTCACGGTCTCTCGCAGTCACGCGTAGCGTATACATATGTAAGAGTGCAATGTGCACGCGTGTGTGAGTGCGTGTGCGTGTGCGTGGGGCGCTTGTCGGGGCTTATGCACATATACATACCAAAGGTATAAGTATATATGTATGTAAGGTCGGATAGAGAGAGAGCGTCAGGGGAGCAAGGGCTGAAAGGGTCGTGAACTAACAGCCACAGGTTGCACGCACACAGGGAGCCAGCAGCAGCAACCCCCCGCGCTCACTCACACGCGCCAAGCTCTGCGCGAGCCAGTCCGATCGAAGCCATTCCCAATGTCGCGTCTGTGTGCGTCTATAGCTTCGTGTGTATATACAGCGACGTACACAGCTACGCATATTACGAGGCGCCACGCCGACTGCCGCTGCTACTGCCGCTCTTTACGAGGGTGGCTGCCTGACTTCCCTGCCCCTGCCCGCCCGCGTGTGTCTACCACGCAGCAGCTAGCTCTCTCGCTGCGAGGGTGAGTCGAGCTGCTACTAGATGCTCGCTGTCGATGTAGTCTGGACTCACAATGATGAAGATTTTCGCTGCATAAAGCGTCTAAATTTGTTCATGTCTAACGATGTTTTGGCCCTCTTCGCCAAACCCGATGAGAGCCTCGTTATAAAATTAATTTGGCTCTTTTTAACTGCTTCGCGCACTGGAAAATTAACTTTGTAAAACACGCTTAATTATTACACTTTTCGAGCCTATTGTGCCTACGAGAGTGTCTTTTTTCTCCATACATGCGTAATTAAATCTTAAGCCTCTCCCAAACAAAATCATTACTTGATTATTTGTTTTGAAATTTTCTTTTATCAGGAAAAGTAATGTAAAGAATTTCGCCCGATTAACGATTTCTGATAAGAAGAATTCATAGAATCATTTTGCATACAATCGAGTTTATTCCAGTCGTTTGAAAAAAATAAATCATACGCGATGAAAAAAAATCATGTGATTTATGTCTATGAATTTTGAAATCTTGGAAGCATGAAAAATGAATTTTTGTGTAAAACTGAGATTGCTATGGTTCATTTTATTCAGAAGCATTTATACACAATTAACTAACACTTAATGATCGACAGATAATTTTAATACAGAGAAGAATAAAAAAAATCTACTTTGATAAAAGTTTATCTCTAAGATAAAATCCCTCTCTCTTTCTTACATTCTAGCGAGCACCTAACATGACATCGCAAAGTGTCCGAGTGTAACAATACCTGATTTTCAAAGTGGATTCAACGAGTATCTGACATCGTTGGGCAGGCTTATTATTATTTTTCTTATTTTTGCAAGCCAACTAACGCAAAACAAACTCCAGCCATGCATGGGGTAAGGCTTTTCAGTCAAACTCGTTTTTCCGTATTTTTACTTTAAAATATTTCAGATGACATTTCATTTTGGCCTTCAAGAGACCATATTGTTTGACCAATGGGTAGTATCCGATCTATCTGGGGTCCTCGGGTCGGTCATCGGCATCATTATCCTGGGTATGATCTACGAAGGACTGAAAAATTATCGGTAATCAAACACTACAACTTCTTTTTCTTCTGTATTATCAACAAATATTATTTTTCAGCGAGTATCTCAACGTGAGCAAAGCAATTTACAAGCGCAAAGGAGAAACCGAATCAAGAGCGTAATTATACAATTTTATGCATAATTTTTCATTTATTTATCCGAATTTTACTATAAAGTCATTAATTTTGCAGAAAATCTATATTTTCAACGATTCACGTAGTGCAAACGATGCTACAAGGCGTCCAACTGATACTGGGTTACTTACTCATGTTTATTTTCATGACTTACAACGTTTACCTATGCATAGCTGTGGTAGTAGGATCAGTTTTGGGCTACTTCGTATTCTCATGGAAGTACGCAAGGTGTGACATAAGTGAATGCTGCTCGTGAGGCTCTAGAGTCTATCCGAAAATCAGTGCGTGTAAATGAACGTTTTATACTGTTGAAGTGTGTGTTTGAGGTTGTACAGTTTTGTGGCGTTCCATATGAGCCTACATTGTATATATAAATACAAAAGCTATTGCATTTAAACATGATTAATTTTGTTTTTAAATAAAAAATTGATATTGAATGTTAGAATTGTAAAAATGACCTTTTCTTCGCCATTGTCGATAAAAGTTATACCTACAGTAAAGGTGTGGTTGTAAAATAGATTTTCTCAACATATACATGTGTCAATCTCAATCATATTGAAAATCGAGTAATAAAAATTACAGAAGATCAAATAACACATTTATCAAACTCTAGAAATAGCGAAGCTGTAGATGCAGTAATACTAGCCATAGACTGCAACGATGAGACGAAATAGGACAAGGTATCTGTAATAGCGAAGTAGATGACAGCAAACAATTCAACCAATTAAACTACGGTAAATAAATACTTACGTATTTTTATTATACATTACAATTAAATAATTAATGCTAATAGACAATTCTAACAAGTGCATCAGCTCTTTTTTAAAAGTATATTCAACACCCTATAGATTTTATTTTAAAGTAATTCGAAAATATTAATTACATAATTTATCAAATCTTCGGCAAGAAATTGTCAGCATATTGGGTCTTTTTTAAGGGGGTAGTAAAGTTTGTAAAAAATTAATAAATTTTTTTGTTAGAAGCTGCTTAAGTACTTAGGGGGCAACAAACCGAATGCACCGCAGATTTTAAGAAAAACATTTATTATAGCCTCAAAAAAAAACTTTTGAAGACTGTATTATTTGTAACAATGAATTTGAAAGAAAAGTAACGAAAGCGCCGCTTTCGATAGAATTTGAATCGCGCTGATGTAGCATCGCGATAATGCGCCTCGTTCTATCTTATCTGCCAGGTCGCTCCAGATACGTGTTTATAAAGTCGTTGAATCGATCATTAACGTCAATAACGTCGTGCGCTCAGTGTCGTCGATTCCCCAAGATCTCAGCAGTGGCAAGAAATCGCGATGGATAACGTGTCGTCGAGCACAAGGAACATTTGCTGTGACAGCACCAGCAATGTACGATTCAGAACGACCGAGACCAAGAACTCCTTCCAAATTATTTTTGGCTGGGATAAATTCAATTCAGCATTTTTAGCAGTTCTGCTCATGGCTTTTGTACTATGGGGTGCTGTTTTTTTCAATTGTTACTCGCCTGCCATGAGTAACTCTACAGGAGGTCACGAAGGCCACGGAGGTCACGAAGGCCACGGAGGCCACGAAGGCATGGAGCATGGAGGCATGGAACATGAAGGTATGAATCATGGAGGCATGGAGCATGGAGAAATGAATCATGGAGGTATGGATCATGGAAGTATGGATCATGGAGGCATGGATCATGGAAGCATGGAACATGACATGAATCATGGTACGGAGCAAGGGATGGATCATGCTATGGATCATACTACGGGACAAGGCATGGGCCATGAAATGGGACATGGACTGGAGAGCCCAGAAATCCATACAATGGATCACAAAAGTATGGATCACAAAATTAATCATAGAATGGCATATTCATCCGCTTTTTAATTTAGAGAATTTGTAATTAAAACGTGAGTGATGTGCACTCATTCAGTTGTTCGAGGACGTAAAGAAGTACAAATTATTGTTCGATTATGCCTTTTACCACCTCATGGTGACATTTCAATAACTGTAAAAGTGTTTGTATAAAAGTACGTCAAAAAAAGAAAATATTGTAATTAACACGCTAATAAATTATAAAAATATCATTTTTCATAAATTCTCAATGTTATGGTTTTATTTTTTCAACGTACGTTGACTGAATTATAGAGGAAAAGGTGCGTTTTCTTGCGTCATTCTCAAATCGAAAAGCCGAGTTGTAACGCTTTAAAAAAGTTGAATCGTAATGGTGAGTCAAAAGTCGAGTATACGTTTTGCTTTTAACGAGGCAGCCGAGCGCGGACAATGAGGCTCGCGACGCGATGAGCGCGAGCGCAGTTTTGCATGCACGAGTCGCGCGCGCGCGAAACGTATTTTCTTTTAAGCTTTTCACATCGGGCGAACGCGCAGCTGGCGACGTGCAGCCTCTTGTTTAACGCGGCTTCAAGCGCGACTAGGGCGTACACGCGAAGAAAAAAGGGGTGACGCGAGCGATCTCTCACTCGTTGGAAGTGTGTCAAAAGTGCGAGTGAAATTAATTTCTCTTCGGGCGGGCGCGCGCGCTGTTTTTTCCATTCAGCACTTGCCAGGAGACGGGCTCGAGTGCGAGAAAAAAATTTTTGCTGCCTCGGTCATATTTTCTCGACGAATACATTTTTATCGATTGAATCTGTTCTCTTGAATAACTAAAAGGCCTGCACACGCTACATTTCTATTTTTCGCCTCTCTTAGATGTATCTGATCGCTTTGCTCTTGTAAAGTTTGAAGAATTTAGTTTAATGCAAAAAATATTCCCGTGCTCGGGTTTACGACTTGCACGTTCACTTGTTTTTCCCTCGGGCCCCATCATTGTGCGATAATTTTCGATTTCGACCGCGCGAGCTTTGAATAATCCATCGGACACCCATGAAAGTGCACGCATAAGCTAGCTACCTCGGCGCGGGCTTGCATGTCTGATAAATCTTGAGAAATATGTGTGCTACGTATGCACCGGAGGGCCTGAATAAGAGACCGAAGTAGCAAACTCGCGCTAGGCTTGCACGAGGATTTATATTTCGTTAGGGCAGTAACGTACGTCAGTTGCGAGCGTACGGGCGCTACGTGCTTCCACCTTCCAGGCCTTGTTTTAATTTATTCGGCGAAATTTTTCAAAGTTCAAAAACTATGCGCGATTCATAATTTTCCGGAAATAGTACTCACGAATTTCGGATGGTTATGTTAATCTTTTAAGCTCAAAATATTGAATTTAAATAAGAAAGAAGAAAACGTCAGTGATTTTTATACAGCACTCAAAAGGCGTTCGATCAAAAAAATCGTTGCTTATTCAAAGTCAAGAGCTCGATGTTGGGTAAACTGTTACTGGATATCTAACATTGATGTTCTATCGAACAAAAGCGAGGGGCAGTTTTTTGTTTTTCCCTATCGACTTCGATTCTTCAGTTTTAACGGCGAGTAATCGCTAGAAAGTTCAAGAATTATTTTTTAAGCAAGCTCGATCCTCGACTTTACAGCCGTGTAAAGTTGTCGGTATTGCAAAACTTTTTTCCACGTGCAATAAACCGAGCAAATATACGCTTATAAAGTTTCAGGTAAAATCCTATTCGTCCTGTTGCGTCTGCAAACGAATTTTTCATCCAAGTTTTTCTTGTTGGCTCATTCTCCGCGTGTTTAGACGAACTAACTTTTATTGCGTGGAAAAATGAAACAAAAAATGTAGAGTGCGTAAAAACACCAATAAAATGTATTTATTGTTTTTGTCCCTGATGCCAGTTTGCATTTTATTTTGCCAGTGATTAGTGGATGTAAAAGTAATTAATTAGCGCATAAATATTCTATACGTTTTTGATATTGTATATTATTATTGTTTAATGCAAAACAATTATGAGTAACCAGTTAAAAATATAATCAATTGTTGGCTTTTGAAGTAAATTAAAAAATTGTTAAAATCTTACATCGTGACTTTTGTGAAGCTTGTAATAACATGTTCTAATGTGTATTTCGACTGGTCGAAATCGATCAATTGTGTATCAAATATAATGCTCTGATCAGGTTAAATAATGTATTCAATTTTCAAAAGCTTATAAGGTACTCAATAAATCCATCAGTTATTTCATAAAACGTCTGTTATACCTTTTTTTGTTGGGATGCATTTGAAAATTTGAATGTAGAATGTATAAACGTTAATTTGATGAAATGAGAGTATATTGTGGCTCAATCTATGGAGAAAAATAAGAAAAGCACGTGAGCGATCGATGAGATCGGTACAAGTTCTTAGTTTTGCAGACAGGTGGCGCCCATTCAAAATATTCAACGCATTCGCTCATTATCCATCGACCTGCTGTGCAGCGGCGTAACTATTCAACTAGAAATCAAGGCATAGCCCTGGTAGGGACTCGGGCATCTCTTTCGCTCTTGAATGTAAAGTTCGCTGGATCAGCTTGGCCGCGTGAGTGGATTCTTTAGTTTTAATTGGCGCACGAACGACGACCGGTTGGCGTTGAAGCCAAAATTTATGTTCGGCAACGAGTAAATTCAGCCCATTTCAAGCACGCTCGTCCCGCGGCAGTCGATCCCGCGGAATAGATACCACCGCACCTCGCTTCTAGGACGCAGCAGAGAATTGAAGAAGTGAAGCCGCAGAGCCGAATCATCGTCATCATCAGTATTTCGTGACGTTGCCAAAAGCCGCGGCCCACCTACATATATTCGCTAACGGACAAAGATTGCATCACACTTATTTTAAGCGTCTGCTCGCGTGCATGGAATCTCGCCGACCTTATTTCCCTTTTCTTCGTTTCTTTTTTTGGTTTTCTGGCTCGAAAAATAAGTGTGAAAAAAGGGAGGCACTCGGTGTCGATCATGTAATGCGAAGGTGGCGGCTCGTCATGTACAGCCAGACCGAGCTCGAAAACTTCTCTAGTGCGCTGTATGCACGCCCCATTAGCGCCGATAAATGCAATGAAATTATTGCCAATTTGTCGATTTCCAAGACTAATGAAAGTACTCAACGATTTCGAATTTGAAAACTCATGTCAAGTTTTTATTCGCAATTTGTTGATCGATGTAAAATCACGCTAATCTTGAATAAAACATATTTCTAATGTACGACACAATTTAAAAGTATTACAAGTTACTTTAAAACCATCTTTAATTGCAGTCATTTTAAATCGCTCGATTGAGAAAACTTGAGAAATTTGCATCTAAAAAATTATATTTTATATTACATTAAAAGTGGCAAGCTGTTTATGAATAAATTAGAATGAATTTATACCATAAGTGGTCTGTTAAAACGACAAAAAGCTGCACATGCAAGTATTTCTTCACAAAGTTATATCTTCAACAGACGATCGAGAAAAAACCAACATATACTGGTTATAATATGATTCTCCTCTAGCGAGAAAACTTAAGTGTAGCAAAGTAGGGGCTCTGTTTATGTTAGCTTTTGTAATATTGTTTTTTCACGCTATCTTTACGTTTTTCCACTGATACAGAATTAAAGTACAGTTGGTATACACTTATATTGATCATCAACTTTTATGCATTACATATCACGTATTCAAGTCGAAGAGTGTATTTCGCGTGCTGTTACAAATGTATTCATGGATATATCGAACATGTATACAGAGAAAAGGAAATTCGAAAATATTTTAGGATTGTTTTCTCACATGTAAGCCCAAAAAGTGTCAAGATCTTAGATTTGTAGGCTAATAAGATAATTTTAACCTTTAAAACTGTAATTGATAGGTCTTTTTTTCAAGTTTCGTATGCATAAGCTTATGCAGTTCCAGTACCATGTGTATTGTGTACATGTGACATTAAGAATTGAAATCATATATGTTTCTTTCAGTAATTATTATCTTAAAGTAGCTTTAAGATTCCATTTTATATTTTCCTCTTTATTACTTCTTCACCTCAATATTAATTGCGAATGCTGGTAATTCTTTTATTTTCGACAGATAATGGTAGCTTGTTTTCTATAGTTTTGATACCCATGAAATTAATTCTTTAGCTAATTTTCGAAACTTTATATTTTAAATAAATAATTATTCAGCATTAATACTAATGAAATCAAGCAAGTTATGTCAAGTTTTCAGGCAAACTATCATTTTCATAAAATATTTGATATTGTTTGAATATTGTTAGAAATCAAATAGTTTCTAATCTGATAATTTAAAATCTAGTAGTTTGATTTTCCAAACTATCAAGTATTACTATACATTATCTATATCGTATTAAGTGTATACGATATTGTTAAATAGCATTTGCATTTATAAACAAAAATCATACTGGCGAAAATTAAAATATTGTTATAAAATGTATAGTAAAAAATATTTTAAGTTGACTAGGTCAGTAGAGTCGTGAGTAAGGCTTCTCTTAAATACCGATAATTATACCTATGGTTACAATAAATGTAGGCAATCACAAAACCAATATTTAAATTATAAGAATGAAAACATTAGTTTGCCTGAAAATGACGAGCTAATATATTTGATTCATTTAATATCATAGATTAGTAACAACTGCTTTAGAAGTAACAGTTTCGTGAATCGAAATAAGAAAAAATTTCATGGTTAGACATATTATAGAAGTTTGAGTATGACTTTGCCAAAGTCTTTCAATTTATGGCGAAGCAAGCTCTAAAAGTACTATGCATTTTCCTTCTCATTCTCTTTTTCTCTCTCGACTCGAGCGCAATAATTATATCGAAGATTGCGTAATGCAAAAGTATGAGGCTGATTTTGTTGAGTTCTTAACACATGTATAACAATGTAATAAAGAGAAAGAGGGCCTCGCCTTTCTATAATAAATATACATACTCGTGGGCTCAAGTCTTTTGCAAAGGAGAGCGGCGTGCAGGTCGAATATATACATGCAATCTACGTCGACCCATCTCTAGAGTGCACCTGTGGCAATGCCGCTCGCCGATAAATCTTGCAGCTATGCACGAATAAGAGTCATTTTTCTTCTTACGTCTATTTACAAGCTGTAAACTTATCCAGACGCGAGTCTTGGATACTTTGAGTATTGCGAGATTATGTCTGGTGTGCAGATGAGATTGTCAAGCGAGCTCAATCGTCCCAGCGACGAGTGTTAACGAGGACATTAGCAGCCAGCTTGCTCTTGCTATTCCACTTGAGCCTGTAAAGTCTTGATTATAATGCATATCTCATTTGACACTTTATAATCGTCGTTTTACCTTTGAATTTGGTCTCTTTGACAACGCAGAATTCCTTATAAGGGATATAATTTTGCTGACACTGGCACAAGTTGTCCTTGCACAAAGAGTGAAATGTTCCGCAATCTTCGTGCAAGTCGCACATGGTGTGCAAACCTGCAAAAAATTGGAAAAACTGAGCGAAAAGAGCTAAGCGAGCTGCGGTCGTTTTGTCATACGTACGCGCTTGTTTCTGGATGCAAAATAGCTGGTCTTCGCTGGGTCTGGACGATTCTTTGCAGTTGCACCTGTACCTGCCGCTGCTGATATCGCAGAACATTTCGGATCTCGGGTGGCAGGCGCAATCGAGATCATTGCCGCAGGTCTCGTTGTAGCGCCTCGTGACTCGGCATTGTTTTTCCGATCTGACGTAGTGCCGGTCCTCGTGGCAGTGACAAAAATCGTTCCAGCACTCGGAGAAGGCGATCGTGGCGTTGCACTGGTCGTTCGACGAGCGGCAGTCTATGCCGGTGTTCTTGTTACACGACGTGTCGAACAGCGCTAGTCGGACGAGTTCGAGATTACGATTGAGTTTACATAGTCTCGACGTAATCGTAAGAAAAAAATGTTAATCTACTTGTACGCTTGAAGGATCTCGTTGCCTGAAAAAATTTACTCGCTTCGAATGGAAGCTCCTCGGTGGAATTGGTCCAGTGGCAAACAGCATAGTCGTCTTGAGTGCCGTTGGAAGGATCTATATTGCAGGAGGACGCAAAAATCAGAGGTGCCAAGCAGATCAGCACCAAAACAGTCCAGAGCATTTTCATCTACTCGACACTTTGGGTTAACTTTTGTATAAAAGATGTAGCAAGCGTGCGGCACAGTTTGTGGCATGAACGCGCGACTCGTTCGCTTCTCTCGTCGAAGAATAACAAAGCGTCGTACGGGGCAAAGAAAGTAGCTACTCCCGGGACGCGTTATCGAGCTCGTGTTTAGGCAGTATCAACGGACAAACTGGCGCGCTAAAGAACGATAAACTTATCGCTTTGTCTCTTGCAGTTCTGCCAGCGAGCAATTATCTGATTGATTCGTCGCTCGATCACGGCACATAGCTCCGGCATAAAAAGTCGTGTCGGATAAACGCGATCGTGGGCTCTCGTTATTTCGGTGGCGCAGCTATGATGGAAATGCTCGTGTCCACGCCTCGAGGTACTACGACTGCATAAGCTCGCGTGTCCGATCATAATATACATACGTCATCGGACGCTTATCATAAGTCAAGCGATGCGCAGCACACCTGCCGCGGCTCGGGAGCTAAATGCAGCGGTCCGCCGACACGCCGTAACCTTGACACCATTGTGTCCGAAGCAGAGCCTAGAGGGCTGACGTCACGTCTGTCGTCACCGTGGCCTCAGAAAATGCAGCCGAGCGCAAAGGAAAAGGCGAAAAACTCCCTTCGCGTTCGATCGCGTGTCAAGCAGCAGTGGGAGCTGCGCGGCTAGCTTTTATCGCGATCGAAAGCCGCTGGCTGCGATGTTTTTTCCTCTCCATAGCAGCGAGGAGCCTTGCGCTGTGCCTGGCTAGTCCTCATCGATCCTCGCTTTATCGCGATCCTACGGACCTTTGGTGGAATTTCCTTTCCGCGCAAAACATTTTCGGTTTCTGACTAATGTACCAGTTTAAAATGTACCAAACGATACTTTTAGCTTTTATTTTTATGAAGCAATGGAAAGAAGCATATTATTGTCTGAATGAGTAACGCTTTTCCCTCATTAAGACGGGCTTTTATAGGCGTCGAGGCACAAATCGGTATTTTTCCTACATCCATCGATATCGTAGCGTTGAAAAAAAATGCTCGTGCTGTTTGTACGTGAAATATTAAACGAGCGAAGCAGGGATTCACGAAATTGCGATTTAATTGGAAATGCACGATTCATGATAATGCTCGACCTTAGTATTTTATTTTTGGTAAACGAGAATACACTTTATTTACGTCGATAGAAAACTCCAGCGATCGGGTACTGTCTTTCCGTATATACATTTACATCAAGATATTCATTTTATGATCAATGTAAATTCGATATACAAGAAATGACAGTTTTAATAGTAAGTCATCATCGAAATAGCGTGAACCACGATTACCAAGGTGCATGCGAATTTAGAGAACTGTACCATGTGGCTGCTGCTACGTCCTGAAAAGCGCGAATAATTTCATTCATGAATGGAAAACGCGATGAAAAAAAAAGAGAAATTTTATTAAAAACTTACTTGTGGGTATGCACCTGGTGCCATGAACTTTTCTGAAATAAGGGCGACAGACACAATGATTCATGGGGCACCATGAATTATTTATCTTCTTGCAATCGTCATGGCATTCGCACATATCGTCGAGTTCTATGGGCAAAAAAAGAAAACATCAGAATCTAAAATGAGAGACGAGTTCATTCAACTTGATTGATGATACAAGAACGATTTCCCACCTGGATATGCCAATCGACAGAAAAGCCTGTCTCGGCTCACTATCAAGGGCCAAGGACAATCGCAAACCGAACGCTTTCCCGGGCCCTGTTTTTCGCAGCGCATCTGCGAGTCTATGTGGAACAAGCACTGAACCGGATTGTAACAAATCTGGTTGAATCTTCGCGTCTGGACGCAGCCGCGGTAGTAGGGCGTCCAGTGATAGCCCTCGTGGCACCGGCAGAAGCCATCCTTGCACGTGGTTCCGGGTACCATCTCATGGCACCAATTTTCGAACAAAACGGCTTCGTCGCACCGTATGTTGGTACTCTCGTCCCCTGAAAATTTCGCATCTTGTAAAAGCCCCCAAAAATTGGACGGCAAACGATTGTGTTATTGATCATAACTTACCGTTGACTGATAAGCTCAACGTGGACAGGAGGATGAGGCAAATAAGTGCAGGGATATTTTTTTTGTCAGTCATCTTGGATTCGTCAGTGCTTGCGTCAAATTTTCGTTGACCAAATCAACTCGTGTACATAGACTCGGAGAGCTCGTTACGCAATGAGCGCTTCGAGCTACGATATTGTTGACACTTTTATGTGGGCAATTTGAGCTATTATTGTCAAATGTAAACATCGATTTCAAAATTAAGAATGAAGAAAACATTTATTTTTTCGCACTTTTCTTATGACAAATTTAACAAATTTATTTCAAAATACTCTCATAGTACATACAAAGTGAATAGCGATACGAGTATAGCAGCCCACAACTGCTCGAGAGAAGTCGCACCGTCCTCTGTAAAAAAAAACCCGTAAATTTTCCAAACCTCCAAAATTAACATTCGAAATTGACTCACTGCAGTCGTTGTCTATTTGCTTTTTGCCCGGCGGACATTTGCACTTATGTTCGGGCGAACACTCGGCCTCGGTGCTCGGGGCGAAACACTCATCATTTCTCCAGCACTCCTCGCCCAACCCTACGACGCGAGATAGATATAACAATTTTGAGTATCGGTTTCATCTTATGGATAGCTTACACTTCATCCTAAGACAGGAGCCGCTGTCCACGTGGAAGTAGTTCTTGTCGCAGCGGCAACGGCCATGTGCGTCCGTAGTCTTGTTGGCAAAGTGGCAGACGGCATTTTCCAACTTTTTGTTGCATTGAGTATCGTAATGGCAAGTCTCGTTGTAGTTAGAGGCTGAAACGATGACAAATCGCACGATTAATGACTTTTTGAACTTTCACGATAGCCTTTGGCACTTACTATGGATACACTCGTGTTCCTCCGGATTCGGAACGAAATCGTCCGGGCACTGGCACGTCTTTTTCTTATCGTCCAAGCGACACACTGCTCCTTTGAACATGCAATTTTCGTCCTCTTTGCACTCGTAATTTAAATCTGTTATCCCAATCGGTAGTGATTTAATCCCAGATTTTGCCAATAAATGTAAATAAAAAATTGTTGTACGTTACGTGCTAGACAGGTATTGTTGATCAAAGTATAACCAGTCGAACATATACACTTATTGAAAGCACAGGTAGAGAAAGGTATATGACAGTGCTTGTCCTTTTCGCAATACTCCTCCATTTCTAAATGCAAAGTTTGAGTAACAATCCTAAAATGCGATCAGCCAAAAAAAAAAAAAAAAATGAAAAAACTCACTTGGCTCGTTGTTGATGCAAAACTTTGCATTCTCGCTCAATTCGGAGTTTTCCGGGCACGAACAGGTCTTGATTGACATATCGTCTCTTTTCAAGCAAACGGGCTTGGGACTGTTTTTGGGCGCTAAGCAGTCATTGTGACCTTCGCATTTATCGTTGAAATATTTGATCACCCAACAGAATTGTTTTTCTTCCAAGAAACGCGTCCCATTCTCGCACAAACAGTTTCGAGTTTTCAGATCGCACGTCGATTTCGGTCCATAGAGCTGGCATTGCTCGTCGTGGTCGCACGATCCACCGTTCACGGCCGCGACTGAAAAATCATTTTAATCTTGCTTCTCTTCCCGATCGATTTGATATAGCATGTACTCACGGTCCACGCACTCTCGATTGTTTTTCAAAGCTGCCTTGAAAGCGGGACACGTCCACTGCGAGTCTTGGCAATAGGCCCCGAATACTTTTCGCTGTTCCTGGAACGACGTGTTGGAGCAACCCCCGCCGATTTCTACGGAATTATGAATTATTTCGACGCTTCACTTATGACTTTGAGCAATGAACAAAATGATTTACCAGGTATGCATAGCTTCATATCGGAAGTGGGGAAAAATTCACGTCTGCACTTGCACTTGTTGTCAACGCCGCAGTAGGAATCTTCCAGAGTTCTAGCACAGTCTTCGTGCGAAGTGCAATTATCCCCGACTTTTGTTCCACCGTTTACTGGAATATAATCGTATCTAGTTACAGCTCTGAATTCGGCCTTATGGACCTCTGGACGCTGATCGGTTTTCTTTTCGGTACACCTGTTTTCGATGCACTTTGATTTCTCAAAAGACATGCAATCGTCGTTTACCAAACAATATTCGTGCGGCTCTGAGGAAAATATAACGTTAATGCTTTTGGAGATGAAAATTTGCGAGTTCGGATCGACGCGTTATTACTTGTAACATTTCTCCGACAGGTGCTGTATTCGCGTTGGTAATAATTTTTGCTGCATTTGCAGATTTTTTCTACGGGATCGCAATTGACCGATCCATATTCAGCGTGAACGAAGCAGTCTTCGTGTCTATCGCAAGATTCGCCCAGTTCTAGAAGAGAGTTCATGTAATTAGGAAATGTGGAATATTTTGTTTCGATGCCTTACTCTTTGTAAAATGGCAGTAGCCGCGCAAGTAGTGATAGTCTTTCTTGCAAATGCAGAGTCCGTCGTCGCATAAGCCACCGGCCCCGAGAAATTCCGAGCATTGGCGGCTGTCGGTGCATGTGTCATTGTAGCCGCTTGAGACTTGAGTCATACGACAAAATAAACAGGTTTTATTATTTTCGACAAATCCATGACTTACATACTTACTCGTGGATAGTAAGGAAAACTTGACTTACTTTGCAAGCATTCAGTTTGCGAACCGTCGAGTACGAAACCCTCTTTGCATTTACAAAGCTCCTCTTTCTTATCGCATTCGGAATTGACTGTTTTACATTCGAATTCCAAGGTTACATTACAAGTCGAGTTAATTAGTCCTGCTGCGTCTGCATTAAAAAAAAAGTATCATACTGATATTTTAAATCGTCGCTTTGATTTAAAAAATATTCAGTTACCATCGGCCACAGTTGCAGATACCGAGAGTAAAGCTACTAAAATTACAGAGACGCCTTTGATGAAATCGAGCATCTTTCATTACGCCAATTTTATCAGCTAATGGACAAATTCGTTTATTGAAAACACAAGCAAGACTGAGAAGAAAAATTTCGATACATGCGCTCGAGAAATCAAACACGTCCTCGTGTTATCTCTTTTTGAAACGATAACATTTATAGAGATTGCACATTGTTAATCAGCTGATTATCTAATCTTTTGCATCTATTTTAGATAGTCACAAGAAATTTCACCACAAGCAACAAAGGTCTTATTGATCATGAAAGAAATTATAAAAATAATCGGTTGTCCATTTAATATACAAAAATTTTATTAGCAACAAACATTTGTAAATTCAAGCTTATCCAAATTGAGATCAGGTTGTTTTTATCGCGTTCTCATTTTGGTCGACAGTCGTCACCAACTTGCCGGGCATTAAAATCGCAGCGGCACACACCATTCATGCAGACAGCTGCCTCTGTTTTGGTCACACATTCGCTCCTCATTTTGCATTTTTCACCGAGCTCTGAAAATCATATATTAATGCGTTACTGTAACGTAACAAAAAATTTTAGACGAATAAACACTCAACTTTTTATCTTGAAGCAACGACCATTTTTGTGATAGAATGACTCGAAACATTTGCAGATTCCTGTTTCCTCGTTTTCCTTAAGATGGCAATAGGAATTGTCAGTCTGTGCATTACATTGTTTATCTTTGCTGCACTCTTCATTAATTTTTTTTTCTAATAAGAAAAAGATCATAATATTAACATCAATTAATGGCACCCCAATTTCACCAATGAGAATTTATTTTTCTTACTCCTTAAGCAAGCCAAATTGTTCTTAGCAGGTGTGTAATTATCTGCACATTGGCAATTATCGTTTTGACAAACTGAATTTACTAGTTTACATTCGTCGTCTTTCGAGCAATCCGCTGATAAACCTATATAACAAGAATCAAAGCTGAAAATTCGAGCTTCAAATAAAATAACAAGTCTTTACCTCTTAAACAATTTCCATTAAATTCAAAGAAATTTTTCTTGCAAACACATTTATTTTTCTCACAAACAGCATCTTTTTCAACTGAATTTATACATTCGTCGTCTTTCGAGCAATCCGCTGATAAACCTATATAACAAGAATCAAAGCTGAAAATTTGAGCTTCAAATAAAATAACAAGTCTATACCTCTTAAACAATTTCCATTAAATTCAAAGAAATTTTTCTTGCAAACACATTTATTTTTCTCACAAACAGCATCTTTTTTGCCTGCGCAATGTTCATCCTTGCCACAATAATGACCGAGTTCTGAAAAAAATTATTTTAAAATTGGACAATACAGTTAAAGAATGTGCAAAAAATCAATCGAATTACCCAAGTTGTCGTCGATGCAAAAACCGCCATCATCGCTGACGTGTGAACCTTTCGGACACTTGCAACGCCCGTCGCACAAGGGTACTTTGTTACCACCTGCTACAACGCACTCATCTTTTGTGTTGCAAGTTTCGCCTAAGCTCCTACTCAAATGGCAGTATTTTTTATTTAATAAATGCGAACCTTTGGAGCAGGAACACTTGTTGTCTATGCATTCGGTATTTGGACCAAACAAATGGCACTGCTCCGACGTCTTACATTTGCCACCAAAATTTTGTACAGCTAAGAAAATATTTAAAATTTCACCAATGAATAAATGAAATAAAAAGCTGGATATCATGAAATATACCTTTGTCGCATGATTGTTTACTTCTCGACGGAACTTGGTCAATCGGACAGATCCACGTGTTATCTACGCAAAGGGAGTTGAGCACGCTTGACTCATCGGGCTTCGAATTGCAACCTTCGCCGATTTCTGTTGAGTAAAAAATTATGAAAATCCAGTTTCATATCGGAAATTTGTGTGAGTCTTACCGGGCACGCACCGCTGGGCATCGCTCGAGGCGTAAAAAGCCCTTTTGCAGATGCAGACTTTGTCCAAGCCACATTGAGAATTTTTGATCGATTTGCAGTCAGCATCTGACTCGCAAGCTACGTCGACTTTTACAGGACTCGGTTTTGCTTTTTGGTCCTTTGGAGGAGGCGTCACTGGGGTCGGTTGGCTTGTGCTATTTGTAGTTTTATCACTGCATTTCTTATCAGATTCGTTGCACTTATAATCTTTTCCGCAGTCTTCATCCACCCAACACTTTTCGCCTAATTTTTGTCTCCTGCGGCAGTAAATGTAGTCTATTGCGTAAAATCCCTCTTGGCATTGGCATTGATTTTTAACACAACGTGCAGAAACAGGATCGGGGAAGCCGTTGCATTCTTCATCAAAGGAACAGGTTTCGTAGAGGCCTGCCAATAAATGTATAGTGAAAAATTATGTCAACCGATATTGAGCGGTGGCGATTGATTCAACGGCTCAGCGCAAATGCGATCCTACCTTTGGTTCTGTAGCAATAGCCGTGCAGGTAATGAAATCCACGTAAGCAAGCACAGTGGCCATTTTCGCATGTTCCACCGGTCAATAGAAATTTCGAACACTGAACGCTTTCTTCACAAATGTCGTTGTAGCCAGTAGCAACTAGAAATAATAATTTTATAGTCGACGCTTCAAATATCTTCTTGGAATTCGCTTTTGCGTGTATTTTTCACTCGACTTTTCTCATACGCTCAATTTGCCGACAAACATTGTAAACATATTTACCTTTTAAGCACTTGGTTCCTGTAGCGCTGAGGATGAATCCACTTGGGCACTGGCAAACTCCTTCCTGGCAGAGGGCATCTTTCATCGGACAATCCTTCGCCTCGGTGCAAAAATACTTGCTTGGTACAGTGACTGGAAAAAGCAGAGAACATTCTTAGTTAGTGCACAACAACTTTTTCGTTTTCGTGAGAACTAGTTGGCTGCTTCGGGGGGGCTCGCTGTGCACTTTGCTCGCCGTTCGATCGTTTGACAATTTTTTAGAAAACGACCTATCTCTTTACAAAGCAATCGCAGTCCGAGGATCGAGGTCACGTTTCCGAAGCGAAATCGCGACTTGTCACTCTCTTCGGGAACGAGCATATAATCGTGGAAAAGCTTCGTCTACTACATCAGTGGATGATTTCAATCTCAAAAATCGAGCTCGTTACCATGGACGAAAATTCAAATTACCATGGGCAAAAGTTCCTCCGAGCGTTAAGAAGGCGATTAACGGAAAAATAAACTTGTCGGCGGACATGATCGTGCTGGCGTTTAAAACCGATAACTGCCTGTTCACCTGCCGCTCGTCCGACTCACTAGCCTGAATAATCAATGAAATCTACTAGTAGCTACCTCGATAATATGTTATCATTTTTTTTTTTATTTTTTGATAAATTTTTTTGATGAATAGGCCTAGTTTTATTATATGTAAAATGATCTCAATATCCGCTCTCGCTTTATCAGCTACGCAGTTGATTGCGAAAATTGAAATTTCGCGTCGCTGATCATTATCGAATAGAGTTGGTAATTACAACAGATTTCGTAGCTAGCTCGAATGGAATTATAGCCTAGATCGAAGCGCTTTATAAGCGTAAACTATCGCGACTTGTTTTAAAACTGATAAAACCGCGATCTGCAAACATTTTATGCAATGCCTCTTAACACTTCATAACGATTTGATAATAATTTCGTTGCATGTGCATTAAACTTCGTCGTTGCAGAAATTGCATCATTTTGGCAAAAGTAAATTGAAAAAATATATTCACCTTTGGCATTCGGTTATTTTTATGATGCGTCTTTCTTCTACTTGATTAGCGGGAAAATCACTTTGATTTCATTCTCGGTAATACCCATCGTTTTAATAGTCAAACTATCAAAATATCCGAACTTTTTATCATCTTGGAATTACAAAACAGCCAAGAGATCTCGTCATTTTTCCCCCCTAGAAAAGAGAATTTTTAATTAAAACCAGGCGATTCCGAGAGCCCCGCAAACGACACCAGTTATAAATATGTATATGTGTATGAACGTATACTCGATATATTTCGAGTGTGAAAATTGCGATTCGCATCGATGCAAGCATGACCCAAGACAGATAAGAATTTGACCTAATGGAGTATGACCACATATGAGCGCGTATGAGAAGCGACTATGACACTCTCTGACACACAACAAAACATCTGCTCGGCCGAGCAGTAGCCAACAGTTTCAGTTTAACAATCAAAGATGAAGGAGCAGTGGAAGAGGCTTGATACCGATGGTAAGCGAAAGAAAAATACACGTCGATTGGCGGCATACGTACACAATTGACGCTCTGCAACTCGTCAATCAATTTTTATTACGTGACGCGTATTTAATCATACTTGTGCTATTCGCACTTTACTTTTTATAATTGAAATGACAATTTTTTATCTTTCGAGTGCACAGAGAGATATACTTTTTCGTGTACGCTTCAATTCACTTTTTTTCCTCTTTGGAATATCATGCAATTTTGCGAACATAAATATACAACCACGGCACAAAATTGTGATCCAACGAATCGATGCTTCTTTGTCTTTATATTCATGTTTTTATAATTGTTAAAAAATTTTATTTTACCAAATAAAGAACCTATTGATGTGCAGTGTGTGCAAGACAAAACTCGACGAAAAAACATCAACTAATTTTTGAATGTTGTGCGGGAAAAATGTTCTTACATCGTTGATAATGTGACGTATTTGTCGCTGCGTCTGTGTATTATATACATGCATAAGTATCATGCGATTTCGAACTTTTCTGATGATATGTTGCAATCGCCAATTCACAAACATACACATAGTTGATGCTTACTGCGCAGTTTAATTCCATTTCGTCACTCGAAGCAAAGAAATTGCTCTGATTATGGTAATTATTTTTCAGCCAAATTACTTGTGAACGTGAGTGAGGGTGGACATGTGCCCATCAGCATCCAAGTGCCTTACCAAGCTCTCGGGCAACCTCGAGACGACTGCTGCAAAAGGACACTCCTTACTTTGAGACTATTGATACTTTTGGTATTGCTAGGCTTTTCGAGCTGGCTACTCATTTCGACATATTACAATTATCATTTATTGGTTGACACTGACAAAGATGTAGCTGTGAGTAAAGTACCTTTTTTCAATAGCGAAAAACAAATAATAGCCTTTAGAAACGAAGTCTTGAACTCTTTGGCAAAGAATGATGAAAAATCTAGTCCAAAAATCATTGTGCAGGAAGAATATCCGACCGATGATAATGAACCGACGTCTTTCATTGAAAAAATAGTTGCAAAACAAGCGATACCAGTTGACGTCAATATAATTGTTGACGGATCTTTTGAAAAAGATGCAGTCAATTCTCACGAAAGTCACGAGGAAGCCAACGAAAGTGAAACAAGCGACAAGGCAGATCACGACAAACTATTTCATATTTTGACAGCGGAAATTCCCGTCGTCGAGGTGGAGGACGTTGATTATTACACCAAGACGGAGGGCGAGGACGAAAAGAAAAATGAGGAGAAAAGCGTGGACGAGGTGGACCGATCGATGCAGTCCAGCGAAGACGACCACCAAGCTATTAGCTGGCTCGATGCTCTCGATCAAACGCTCAATTTTTTGAGCGAATTTGAAAAGGACGACGATGTCCCAGACTCCGAGAACTCGAACGAGGAGGCGAATAGCAGTCAAAACTCTCGAGAAAAACATACGGATGCGTCTTCGATCGAGACTCAATTCGCGCAGGTGCACACGAATTACGAGACTAGCGGAGTTCCAACGAGCCAGTCAGCCGAACAAGACGTCACGCTTCTTCGTTACGTGGCTAGACATTTGGAACACATCGTTGGCAAAAACAGCCAACTGCTCGTCTGGTACTACGAAAACAAAAATGACAAGATATTCGCTGACAATCCTTGGGACGTTCGCCGACAAGCGGCCGAATTGTTGTACAGCGACGACATCACCACTTACAGCAAGTCCTTCGAGACAGTTTGGAAACTCATTCAGTACTTGAATTTGGAGGAAGGATCGGATGCGGCCATCGAAGAGTACATCGTCAATAGGCTCAGGACGAAGCAGCACATGTTTTACACGCTGTACGAGAAACAAGTTTACGACGATCAAGAGATAGCTCTCTTCATTCAGGGCATCAATACAATGGAGCTGAGGAATATCGGCACGCCTCCTGCGACACAGGCCACCCCTTCGGAGGACAAAACTACCGAGAAGGACGAAATTGTCCCGCGAACGAGCGAAGATGACCCAGAACCAAAACAAACCACCGTCAGCTATTCGGAAACGGAAAATCCGGGTGACCTCGAGTTACGTACCAACGGAACGACTGATTATTCGGAACCCTACATGTCGCACCTGACTGCTGATAAAAATAGTGAAGAAGAGGCTGCTGATCAAAATAGTGAGGAAGAGGAAAAAGATATGAATGGTTTTCTCTCTATCTATGGTCACGACTACTTTTACGATTATTAATTTCAGCTCAGGATCGAAAGCTGCAAATGTAAAATATCTTGCGAGCGCATCTCAATTTGTTGTAATTTTCATTAATACTTTTATTATAATTTTAATGTTTCACTCATAGTCATTAGATCATAATAAATTATAGGCACATTAAGTTTGTCTTGTAAAAATCTCTGTATTAATTTGAACAAAATTTTAATTAATTGTATGTGAACGTTGTTGTGTATACAATTATTGAATAAATTATGAAACTTTAATTAACGCTATGTTTACCTATACGCAAAATATCAATTAATCTTATGACAATTCTTTAAAATACATGGAAAAAACTCTTATATTCATTATTTCTTGACGTTACAACCCCGTATTGTAATTAATGTTGAAATGACATTAATTTCTTTCATATCATTACGGAATCTAAGCTATCAAGCCGAAATATAAATTTAAATCTTTTGCCGTTAAAAATTTTGATAATGAACAAGACAAGACTATTTACGTAGTCTATTCATCGCCTTAACTATTTGACTTAACAAAAATTAAACTACTACCACCAATTACATTTAGAAGATGCAGATTGTCGTGTAATAAAATGTAAACATTGATTGAATTGGCAGGTGTAAGATGGAACTTGACTGCGTAACAGTTCAAAATCAATTGCCAGTAGTCCGTTTTAAGAAAGTGATAATATTCATATCAGTTGTAGTAATGTCAATTGGAACGAATAACATAAAATCGAGGCATCGAATCCATGAACTAAAATTAGCCAGTTCGTGACTAAGATATTTTTGCAATGACGGTGCAAAATCAGCAGATTCACTCTATTTTGTTATGAATTGAAATTTAAATAAAAACGCTGCGCACAATCCATATGCGAGTACAACTGCATTCGCGTGTGAGTGATAACAATTCTATATCTAAGAATGCGTTTGAAGTCATGTTGTTGGAATGCAACTCATATCAATCCAAGAATATTTATATATTTTGGATGATTTTAAAGGCTAACTTTTCGACAGCTAAAAATCTCGTGACAATTAATAAAAGGCCATCCCCTGCGGAGATGAAGGCGTGGAAATGCGCAAAAATACTTGTCACGATCGCCAACAATAAATTATTATTGAGTACGTAGGCTCGATAAGCGTTGACCCCGCGGGAGCTTCATTCTCGCGAGCTACCGAAGCTGCGGCAGGGGCTAGCTCACGCAGTTGTTGATCGGACGCGCTCTTGGGGGAAGAAAATCGCAGCTCTTGGAATGCGCATTTTCTCCGCATCATACCAATGGTGAGTTGGGTACTCACTTGAGTAAATTTTTAATTAGGTCAAATTACCATTTCTAGAGCATGATTATCATTTTTACGTGGTCTTCATCGCACCATTAACATAATGACAAAAGTGAAAAACAGTGACGTTTGAACTTCTGTAAGTGTCCAGTGGGAAATTTAATATTTATCGTGACATTTTAATGCTCTTAAATTTGAGTTTGAACAATTTTACCCTTGCATTTTTAAAATTAAAAATATTTTAATTGTACATTAGTAACTGGAAAAAATTAAATTTTACAGGCTAAAATTGATACGGTCGAAGAGGGTTACATTTCTCAGCCTATTCATTCTAATTTGATGGCTAAATCTTCAGCTGAAGAATTGAAGATTTCTCAAAAACGTATGGTGTTTTTCAAGACCTTTGTTTTGGCTAATTTAATTATCATCTTGATATTTTGCTGCTACGCTGTATACAGTATTTATTCCTTCAAAACAAACATGCGACCGAAAGATTACAAAATCCACGCTGGCGAATATCACATAATCAGATCACATTCTAGTTTACGTGAAGCTAAAATCAAAGAAAATGTTAATAATACAGAAGTAATAGAGGACTGGAGAGAATCCATCATACCTAGCTTAGAGAATGCTGAGAAGGACAACAACACTTCGTATAATTTAAAATCTTTGTTTCAAACGATAACAAGTCTTGTGAAAAATTACACCTACATCGACGATGACAAAAGTAAAAGTGAATCGAAGAAAATATTAAAAACAAACCTCTCTGGTATCGAAATTAACATGTTAAAAGAGCTCGCGAAACTAAAAAAGAGACCAAGGTTGCGGCGCACCATCAAGAGTGACGGAGAGGACGACTCAGAGTGCGATCTTAAATTTACTCTCGTAACCAGCAGTGGGATACCGGCTCAACTAATTTTAGAGGCACCACAACGAAAAAGATTCCAAGATAATAGCTATTTTAGAATAGTTCTTGTGAAAAATAATAATTACAATAAAATAGAGTGCACCTTGAATTTAAATTATCGATCGCACGAAAGAACAAAACGATAGAGGAAACTCGTGATAAATCAAGTTCATAGTATTTAATGTACTCAATTATATTTTAACGTTTTATTAGTTAAGATTTTTGTATTTTTTCACAAATAATTGTATGAATAATAAAAAAGTTTAATTTTTATCCAACATACTACACGTGAGAAACTTGTTCCCCTCTTATAACTTATCATCTCCCACTTTCGAATAATATACATGCGTAATCAGCTTCGAATTTATATGTGCTAATTTCCTCTTATTTTAATTTATAAAATGAATGATTAACAACATTCTATGAATAAAACTCATAAACTGAGGTGAGAACGTCCAAAAAATGTACTGGGATATCAGTTGGCATTTAGCAGAAGCAAGATGAGGAACGTAGGAACGGTTGCAAGACGGCACGATTTTTGTGAGTAGTATTAGTAAGACTATAAAATACATATTCTAAAAAATATGTATGTAACTATTTATTTGTTAAAACGATGATAACTTTCGAGTTGCAACGTTGATTCATTTTTAAAGGGATATCAGTACAGTACATTTTTATGGTTCGACAACAGTTACAAATATGTTTCTTTTTCTTCATGACTGAATTAAATATTATTCTCAATAAATCATCTTCACAAAGAATTAATATGAATCATTTATAAATTGAAGAATAATCGACATGAAAGAATAAATCTATAACTTTTTCATTGTAGCAAGAGTTAATGTATCAGAACAAGATGCTGTTACTGAAAGATATACTTTGACGCAATTATTTATCATCCTGTCAACGGTATTTCTTCTGTGCATGCTATCATTTTCAACCACCTTCTGCATAATGTACTCACGTCAATTCACCCGATCTGAACAATTGGAGGATGCTTTGATGGAATTAAGCAAAGCATTAGTGTCTGAGGAAAATCACAAACCAACTTCCCACAGCTATATAGAGCAAGAAATAATCAAGAATTTACACAAGGATTTATTAAAGTATGCACAAGAAAGATGGTAACCTAAACTTATATGATGTAAACTATTATAAGCGATACAATTTATCAATAATTTACAGAAGCAAAATCAATCTACATGACCTGCTCCAGGCTCAAACCAATCCGTGGGTTATTGTTTACGATTCACGGCACAAAGAGCACATGCTGGACTGGAATACTTTCAAGAGTTTCGTGCACTGTGAGCGTTTTCGTCCCGATCCGCAAGGAAATTATCTCGACTCTAGTTCCTTGCTTACGTTGCAAGCTTGTTACAGATTCGGTGTCAATTTGACGGACATCGAGGAGGGAATACATCGTAATGAGAAGCCCGAAATGCGTTACGACCTAGAAAATCTATACATCACGTGCGAACAAGTATTCAACGCGAATCTTGGAAAGTTCACGCGAGAGCTTTTTGAAGATTACAAAAATTGCAAAGATAGCAACGCCCTCAATCCAACGCAAATCGATGAATTTGAGAAATCTCTCAATCCTCAACACTGAAAGAAAATTGATAATTGGTTTCAAACTTCAAAGGTTGAAACTGAATATGTAGTTGGAACATTTTTCGACGATATGTATATTAGTAACAAGTTGAACTTTTACTGATAGGTACATTAATTTATGTTATTAATCAGTAATTAACGCAAACTATTACAATTCAATTTTCTTACAATTAAGTTTAAAATATGTCAATGTGTCCCTATATGAGTAATTTATATAAGACTTTTGATTATTCAATATCCAAAACAATTCAAAAATTTGAATTTGAATGTTTATGGTTAAAAAGAAATATACAGGTCATGTATTGATTACATTTGCAAAATAGAAAAAAAAACGAGCAGAAACCTCTACCTAGAATATTATTCTTGATAAAATCGAAATGTAAACGTTGCAAAATAATCTGCTCATGCTAGACTGTATTTTTGTTATTATTGTCGATTTTTTTAGCGTATGTGCGACCCCAACTACGCTAAATTTAAATTTAGAGCTATTGTAAAATTAAACGCCTTATTATGTAAACTGGACTAATATTGAATATCAGACAACGAGAATGTGTAACTTTAGCGTAGTAGAGGTCGTCTCTGTATTGAAGTTGGTGTCAACAACAATAATAGTATATGAGCTAACATAGGCAGAGCCTCTACTACGCTAAAGTTATACATTCTCCGTACTTCATATTCAATCTCAGTTGGGTGTATACGTGATGATTTGATGAATTTCCAAATTCTGAAGTATAACAATTCCAGGAAGGTATTAAAGAAGTTTGCTATTTTCATCACGTACAGGTGGTTAACACACGCACTGTTATTACGCAGATAAAGTTTATTATTATTTATTTTTTCAGATTAAAGCTGCACACAAAGTGTGCAACATCCACATATCGCTGTTCTATCAGTAACGCGTAACTAATTTTTATCGAATATTGTAACTAATTTTATTAACTTCTCGAAAGAGATATTGTTTAAAATCTTCAAAGAACAACTTAAAAAATAGTTGTAAATAATTCTTTCTCTGTAAGCATGCATTTTATTAAGAAAAAACAACAAATTTATTCTTATATGTATGATTGCAGAGAAATATCCTGACAAAAAAACAGTACTTTCAAAAGACGAGACACTTGCACACAAAGTCATTACTTTGAATTATGATTAAAAAATCCCTTATCACTGAAATAGCTTATTAAAAATGTGTGGTTAAATTATTAAATACATTTTATTCGCCATGAGAAAAGAACAAACGCGTCGCAAATTACGATGGCAAAAAGAAAGTGTTTTTTTTTTTGTCGAAAGACAAACACATATAAATCCAAGTCACACGAGAGAAAGCTGACGCCGCGACGCGCGGTGATGTACACTTTACACGATGCGCATCCAATCACGCGCGGCTACAAAGTTTCAAAAATAAAAGTTGAGCTTTTTTCAAAGACAAAGATCGTACGTCAGTCTCTTGGACTGACTCGAAATAAAATCTGTCTCGCGTCCGCCTGGCAGACTCTCCGATTTGGCTGACATTGAAACATTGCTCGCGGCGCACACGTTAATGGAACCTAGTGTGTGATCAATGGTGCAAGAGATTAGAAGCCTCCGAGGATCGATAAAGAGGCAAAAATCAATAATTTTTTCCCCGTTCGAGCGTCAAATGGCTCATTTACTCTCACCGTCGTGTGCGGCAGCAGGAGGCGCTGCGCTCTCCTTCTCGGAAAGCGACTGCCAAAGAGAGAGAAAATATAATATGCAGAGCTCGAGCGCAGAGGTGAAACGCGAACGCTCGCATCGATTTTACTGCGGCGCGACGCGTATGCGTGCCTGTGTTATAGCAATGTGTGTGCAGGATTGATAATCGCGCCGAGGTCGAGGTGAGAGAATTTCCTGTCGACAAAAATCCTTACGTTTGTGTAAAGAGACACGCGCGATTCTTCCAGGCGCTGGAGTTTATTTGGCTCGAAAGTTTCGAACGCGGAAGTCCAAGCGCAAGCCGTGGTTGTACACAAACACGATTCCTGTTTTTCGTACGTGCAACTGAGACTTTGCGCAATAGTCGATACGTCGATGCGCCGCGTAATTCCTCTTAATGCGACATCGGCGGCGTCGCATACATATATGTATATACCGGCCGTCGTCTATACGGCATTTTGCGCAATGATCGATCGGAGCGTTTGCAAATAATATTCGATTCCTCGCGAATTCGCGGCGACGCGGGTGCGAGCTTACAACAGCCACGGCTCGACGAAAAAATGCCTATTATTATTTGTCCGTAATAGGTTGATTATTAAAATACGATCGCTATCGAACATTATTTTGCAAGCTTCCTCCCTGTAATATTACCTGGGCCTGCTGCGGTTCTCTGAACATTATTTAACATAAAACAAATACTTTTATTTTCGAACGGAACAATGGAACAATGTCTCATCAAAGTCTAGATATCGACTCTCGATATCTTGAAATTATTTTTGCCTGCCTCTCAAATGCACAATAGAAATATGTGCAGCTATTATACAATTGTCGGTCCGTTTTTTATTCAGACTTTCCTTCTTTCTTCGAAAAGCATCCGAAAAATCACGAGCGAATTAGCAATTAAAATACTTAAGTTGCACTTTTTGAGCTTAAAATAAAAATGGCAAACGTGACACTCCTGTGCGCGCGCCGCCTTCGATGTATTTTTATAAGCCTACGTGCCATATAGAAAAGAAGATATACTTTCTTTTCGCGGCGTGGGTGCACATAAATACTCGAGCAAATGCTTCAGAGAGTACAGACACATACACAGATGCGCGCGCGAGCATTACCTGGAGCTGTGCTGCAGAGAGGAGAGAGAGAGAGAGAAAAAGATGTATACATATACATTGGCAAGGAGTGAGTTTAAATGCAGCATAGGAGTGTACAGCAGAAGATTGGCGCAAGTCAATGACATCCTCGTGTGCTTCTGCTCTATTCCGTGGGGTTCAAAAGACTCGACTGTATACATATATACAATTTTAGAGAGAGAAACGAGGAGCTTTCAATTGTCCCATTTTCGCGTTGTACAGAAGATGCGCGAGGCACTTCTTACCTCAAGGCGCATTGCCTCTGGTGAAAGGCGACTGGCTTTAAACGCCATAAGCGATTTGTCTACAAACGTAGATTCTGCTTTAATTTTTATCATGTATTAAAACAAATTTGAATTTTCTGGAATAAATCGAGCGAGACTCTTGCAGTAATAACGAATGCCGATAGATAAGAAAAAACGTCGTAACGTAAAGTTTTACGATGTTCACAAGCGCATATTTGCAGCTTTATCAGTGACGGACTAATTCTGCATTTTGCCATTCTTGTCCAAGTATGTGTGTCGTTGGTTCAAAAAGCTAAATGATTCGAGACTCGATAAATCGTTGTCGTTTTTGAAACCAACTTTTTACTTTCCTATTAGAGCGTTTTCCTTCGATGCATAATGTTTTGATGACTGAAATTATACGTATCGTAAGATTACTTTCTAAACAATAGAAATGTCAACGTGGATGAATTTCATTTCTGAATTATGTTTGATACATGGCTTCAGTACACCACTTTCAAAAGTTGGCCATCGATTAATTGCCATTTTTTAAAAAGTTCGGTCTGTTCATTACTGTAAAATTGTGATTGCAATTAACGTCGCCCGCTTAATAAATTTGTCAATTAATCAGCGAAATAATTTGCTACTGTCATTAAATTGCAAAAGAAACGCATTTATAATGGAGTGCAGTTATGAAAAAATATCGTAGAGAAAAAATCACTGCAAGACATCAAACCATTCACTTTCTTAAGAACATCTACTCTCGAGTAATAACTTTCTCGACGATATAAAGCCAAAGGATATCCTTATCAGATAAAAAAAAATTGATTTGAACATTTTTCGACGACGAAGACGTAGTGGTAAAAAGCATTGTAAATCGATCTCGATTCACGAAGCAGAAATTAAATCTCAATAATTAAAATAGCAGCGCAAATTTCGCGTTTGTTAAGCCATACACGATTTAATGAATTCATAAAAGCAAACAAGCTCGTTATTGAATTAGCCGAATGTTTTGACGCGGCGATAAAAAAAAGAACCGAGCCCGAAACGCGAGTCGGGAACAATGAGCTGCTGCTCGGCGATCGTTTAAAGCGCCGATCGAAAAATGTCGCATTTGGCGCGAAAACGCGTCAGCCGTCGAATTGCGCAGTAAGTATAAATTGAGCATTCGCACCTGAAATTACGAATGGCCACCTCTGGGCGCGAGGAAGTTTCTAGAGGCGCATTTTCTTTATCATTGCGCGTCACGGAGTATCGAGCGTCAAGATGACACTTTGAAGAAAAACACACGCACCAATAAGTGAAATACGATCGACGCATTGTGAGCCACGGCGACGTCGTCGCAAGTGCGCAAAACAAAGGACCAGTATAGTGGTGCGATAAGCAGCCTCGTTGCTCAGAGAAAACGAAATGATTTAGCCTCGGCTGCTTTATTTTTCATTCTCGGAGTTGAAGCAGCAAAAGCGTCAAAGCTGTCGAAAAAAAATAACTTTTGCGCGAGTATCGGAGGACATAATGGAACGAACACGTCCTATGCAGAGTCGAGCATCGGCTAGCCATAGACGTATATAGCCTCGTAGGATCGAGCGACTAGGCTCGAGCTATACAGCAGAAGCGCCTGACCCAGCAACTTTCTCGAGCATGACATATGGTGGGGGCGTTCGGCAGTAAGCTCGCCGCGTCTCGTGCACGGCAGGAGCAGAGAAAGGCTCCCGTTATATACACACATATACAGCAGCGACGTGTTAAACCGGCACGAGTGCGAGAGAGAGGGAGATAGAGAGAGAGAGAGAGACATGAAAGGCCCGTAACGTGTAAAGGTGGCTTACCAACGGCCCCGACGCGCACTGCTAGTCAGTTGTTCAACAGCATTTGCGGGGCAAACATGAAGGAACCTTGGAAGAAAACGTGCAACGGTGAGACACGTACACATAAAAAATACCACATTATTTTTTTTCCTCAATTTGTATAAGCGACGACGTTGTCGCGTTCTCAGTTCGAGTGTGTGTTGGATTTTTGTGCGCAATTTGTCAATCTGTACCTTGGGGCCGATTTTTTGTGCTAATTCGCCTCGATGATGGCGGCCGTACCATATCTCGATCGCTGCTGCCTCTCACGCTGTTTTCCTCATCTTGACAGTTAGTAAATCGATCACAGTGCGCAAATCCGACTCCTCGTCTCGGGGGAAATTTTCGAGCCTTTCATGCGGTAATGCTTTTTACAACGTGTCGTTAACTTTTTTTCCTTTTCAATCCGATGTGCAAAATAAATCCTGGATCGAAAAGTCAGAGTTGCTGATGTTTTACGATATTTGCGTGGATAAGTTGACGCGGAAAGAGACAGCATCGATGACATTTTTGCCAAGCCGTTAATCAAGTTCAATAGACTGTTTTTCACTAAAATTCAGCGACCATAAGTAATAAGTAAATAAAATAAACAATCGGTCGGAGCAAACGAACGCTCGAATTTCTCTATATAAAATAGCGAAAACTTGGCAACACTGCCGGCCGCGCAGCATCGAGCCTCTTTTTATGGTAAAAAAAGTCTTGGCTTTCGAGAACTCGGTCATTCGCTTTGTATCAACTCATTTTATTTTTGTTTTAATCTGTCGAGCCTTGACATTATTGACGCCGATTTCGATCGTGTATGGCGAGCCGTGCATGCACGCGCACCTTTGTAATTGCGAAAAATAAAAATCTTTACGCTCATCTCTCGCGGAATTCAAAACAGCCATTAAGCGCACTGCGCGTTTATATTTATACGTGTGAACGGGCATTATTGCAAAACTTCTTTGTACGTACGTGTGTGCGTCGGATAAACGTAACTCGCGCGGACGGACCATATGCACTCGCGGCATAAAGTACATGCGGAGATTATCCTTGGAAAAGCCATCGTAACTTCGCAATCTTATATAAGTTCGCAATATACCTACGAGCGGCGATTTTTTCTCTAATGAAAGAAATTTTTCCGACTAATCCGTCTTGGATTAAATCTTTTATTCCCGCGCTTATGTAAATCAGGCGTATGCAGTTGATATTATTTGCAATCCTAAATAAACAGTCGAGCACTAGTTCGAGACGTCTTCTACGCTCATTTTCCTGTCTCAATTTTTTACAAAAGAAATTAATTATTGTTTGCGCGGAAAGTGAAAGTTATAATTAAAGTGTTATCTGTAAACAGTCAAAATTAGAAGATAAAAAGTATTGTGACCGGTTATTCGCTTGAAAGCTTCGATCATATGATGGCTCGAGAGAAAGCATGTAAAATCATGCTAAAAAGTGAATAATATCCATTTGAGTACACATCGGTAGGCTGAGTTTGAAAGTAGCCGTACTATTTAGGGAAATTTTTTTTCTTTGAGAATAAAAAAACCACATGTGTATTTTGTACTTGAATGAGTAAATTTTCATAAAGTAAATTAGTTGAAAGTTCAGGAGTTTGTCGTGAAAAGTATGCGCGTCTGTAGAGATCATGGGACGCGATGGTGTGACCCATCAGGAGCAGTGGCAGCAGCGATTGTCGTGTATTTAATCCATTCGGTTGCATCGAGCAAAAAGTTTACAATAGAAAGTATCTCCGATAATGATAGACTCGGCTTTAACAAATATAACGTCGTGTGTCATGCATCGGCTCTCCATCAAGCGTAAACTTCCATGCAACCGTCGACGTTCACTGCTAGTGATCTTGCGACAGATCGAGCCTTATGCATATTTCGTATCCACACGTACACACACACACACACACACACACACATACGATACACACTCGAGCTCACTTAGCCGCTCTCTTTGAGTCAGCGCAGGTCGCAGATTATCACGCCACTCTTTTGTTTCTCATTTGCAGGTAAGGTAATTATTACCTTGAACGACGAAAAGACGGAGCCGTCGGAGGTCGAGGTACCGGTCGACCTCAACTGGACAAACCGCAGCGAGAAAAAATGTCGCGGTTCCAAGGTTTTGGTTCTCGTGGGTGTTGTGCTTTTGCTCGGCCTCACCCTCGTGACTCTCTTTAAGGTTCAAAACCTCATTTACTCGACCAGTTACATTAACTGGCGCGTGCAAGAACTCGAGTCGGCCATCAACGACAGCAGCGATGACGTCAAACTCATCAAGTACCGGCTCTCCATGGAAGAAAAGGACGACGAAATGGCGTCCATCAGGGCCGCCAGAGCCGAGCCACTCATCGCGTCGGCGAAAGGCCCCAACGGTCAGTTCGACGCCAATGACTTGAAACTGTCCGAGTCGCAGAATCAAAAGCATAAGCTGACGGCCAACTTGGTGCCAGAAAGCGACGAGTCCAAGAAAGAGGAAAATACCGAGAGCAAAGCCATTCAGACCGAAGCGAAGGACAGCAAAGAGGTCGACGATCTGAACGACGCTCGCGACCATCCCAACCCTTCGGACTCGGACGACTGGATCAAGCCTTTGGTAGAGTCCTTCGATATCTTCGGTAACCAGCCTATCGAGGATGGCCTTATCAACAATGTCCTCATGAAACTCTTGATGCCCGAAAAGGATTTCGAGGTCGTTGAGCTCAACAAGATGCAAGATTCGGAAAACTCTGCCCAAGAGCCAGAAGCTCCCAGAATCAGCATTTTTCCGCTCATGCGCAAATTCGGGGGACGATCTGAAAAATCAGATCAGTTGACTCGTACCGAAATGGATTTGTTGAAGGCCTTTGGGCCACCCTCGGGAAATTTCCGGGTTTTCCACCTGAACGAGAAGTCGGAACCGAAATCCTTGGCTCAAATTCAAGATGAAATTATACCCAAACTTTTGAACTTCAAGCCATCGACTCCAGAAATTATGGAGCACACTTTGAAGAGTCTGTTTGGCTCGCAAAAGTTCAGTCGCTTATTTGGCAAGCCTGAACAAGCCAACCAAGCAGCCAAGCTGAACGGTCGCTTGTTCAACGACAAGCTCGAGCAACAACAAAATAGCGCCGAGGAAGATATGCCAAAGATCACCATCCAGAGCATAAAGCTCAAGCTGCTGCCTCTTCCAGCTCAAGAAGATTTCTCTCAACGCCGGGAACCCATGAACATGAACAACTTCGAAGTTATCCGATTGAACGAATCGCCAGAGCCCAGCCAAGATGTCGAGGCTCCCCGAGCCCCGATGCCGATTCCAATGGGCTTTAGGCCGTTCCATCAAATTCCACTTCACGATATCCTCATGAAGACCATCATACCCTTGGATGCCAAGAATGTGGAATTCGTTAATCTCAATGAAAAATCCGAAAACCTTCAACCCATTCAAATGAACCAGGAACAACAGCCGATGCTCCGGCCGTCGCCGATTCGACCAGCCCAAAATCCCCAGGACGATATGGGTATGTACCCTCCCGAGCAGAGATTCAACCCCATTCGTATTCCATTCGAAGATATCATCGGAAAGGCGCTGATGCCTCCCAGTCGCAACGCCGAGTCTCAGTTCCATATCGAACAACAAGAGCAGCAGAATCCAGTTGTCAAAGTCCAAAATGCCATGAAGCCTCTACCGTTCCCTCTGCCGATTCCCGATGCTCTCATGAAATCAATGTTACCCAATGAACATTTTGGACGGGGCCACCTTGTACCATCGGTTTTGCGTCCTGTGGCACCTGAAGATATGGCTCAGGCAGAGCAGCCGCAGATGCAACCCGAAGAACACGAGTCAGAACAAGCGCAGGCTCCTCAAGAGCAAACACCAGCTCCCGAAGAGGCACAAAAGAATTCCATGCGCAGCACCAAGCTGAATCCTATTGCAGATGAATCCACTTGGGATCGTACTATGCAATATTGAAAAAACATCGATAACAGGATAGATCAGAGATCGATAATCCAAGATTCAAAAAACATTACTTCAAAGTTGATCTTTGGCTGATCTTTTCAACAACCACAACAACAAAAAATCGCAGGTTACCGATTCAACGTAAACAAATATACTCTCTCAGTGTAGATAATGTAAAAATTCAAAAAAGGAATGAAGCAAAAAATAAATGGGAAAAAATCTGCATTGCAATTTCGTAGTATCGTGTAATCCTTAAGCTTTTGTAAGTCCAATACGAAAGAGCGTGAAGGTAATAATACATTATTTGAAAAATTGTGATATATTATTTAGTAGTTTTATGATTTATTTTATTTTGTTTCATAGACCATCGTTCTTAAATATATAAATTACAGGCTCAAATGGAGTTCGATTGTACATTCAACATAATAATTTTATTTTTCTTTAACCTGCAAACTTGTATACGCCAATTTTATAAAAAGAAAAGTCGAAATACGTAACAATGTGGGCGTGTTAGCAAAAAAAATTAACGCTCTATTGTGCAACCTAAATTACCAACTTTTTACTATCTTGCTAAACGAAAGAGAAAAATAACATTACAGAGATTTATAATTGTCTCTGTCTCCCACTCATTGTCTCCATTTTTCTGTATTTTTCACTAAAACCGTCAAATCATTTGCTTGAAAACATATATATTGTGCATACGTCGGCTGATATGCCAATCCGTTGAAATGTCGCATCTCTCCTCATTCTTACAGCTAATAGTCATATGTATGATTAATCCCATGAAAGTCATACCTTTTTCAAGACCCTGGAGCGCGAAAAGTCATCGGGTTAAAAACGACCATCGCGAGTTTCATTGAATAAATGCAGCCATACACAAGCACACACACACATGCACGTATGAGGACGCTGCAGTGGCAACGATAGCAATTTCCAAAGAGACTCTTGCCTTTTATTATGGCAGCTCGGCAAAAGGAGAAAGTTTTTGCGTGTACGTAGCCACATTTACGCGTGCAAAAGAACAACAGTAGAAACGAATAAATTTATCAATTCGAGTCAATACTTTTTTTTCCGAGGTGTAAAAACCCAAAAAAATACCGTGTTCAGGACGAATTATTTTGCAGGCGTCAACTTTTATTTCGAACACAACAGACAGAAAGAGAAGGGAAATGACGTGTGCGTAAACTTGCTAAAATACTCCCAACACACACGCCTGAACACGGATATCTTTATTGTACTGTGTGCATAAGGCGTGTAAATTGACATTTTCACTGTACCCATCGCATGCTCTATACACGTACAGACACACGAAGCCACTTTGGAAATTGTTTAGTTACGCGATGAGTTCAAGCTCCATCTGTTTAAAAAACATTGACGAACTCGGTCGTAGAATTATAGAATTAATTTCTTTACGCGCGATGTTATCAAACAAACCTCGTTCAAAACAATGATTCAGATATTTGCAACGATGGTATTGATATTTTTTTGTGAAAATTCATTTAATGATGAACAGCGACGATTACTGTTTACAATAAAAAGCATGTTTGATTTGAATTACAAAATGTTTGTTCTTATTTAACAAAACCTTAGTCCATTACTCTGTAAATTTTCAAGGAAATTTGCTATTAGCGCCTGTATTATTAAATGAGCGAGAGCATTAAATGAAGCGTACGTTGATTGAATCTCGCATCGTAAAGAACGTAATTTTATGCGAACAGATTTGTTGGAGAAGATTTTCATTGGGAAAACGCAATCGTGTGCAGGGCGAGCTGTTTCGGCCACTAAAGAGACTCGATCGCGTCTGTTTTTGGTCTATTGCGTCGGGCGAGTGTCGAAGAAAGGCAAAAACGTTGTCGGTATAAGAATTAGCTTCCGCCTACGACGGTACTTACGACTGTCCGGCTAGTGTAAAAGTTTTTTTCCCTCTAAGCAGCGCTCCGACTTTCGCTTCCGATCATCGAAAAAACCTCATAACAGTGAAAATAAACAAGACGGCTGCTGCCGAGGTACTCAAAAGAGCTTCGTTAATTTAATCCTGCAGTTCGGCCGTTAGAAATTCCTCGGTCTATGACTCGAATTACGAAGTCGGCGTATCCTTGCTTATTATTGCGATTGTAACTCCGCACGCTTACATATTAAAATTTTGGATGAACACTGTACTTTGGCTGCTGGATTATTTGCACTTGAAAGCTGGCAGTGCCGCTGCTGCTGCATTATGCACGAGCTGAGGATATTCGAAAAAAAAAAGTTACTTTCACTCCGGACATTGGCCGCGGTAATAAGGTGCGTGCAAATTACGTTACAGACAATGTACACACGAGGCATAAAATCATTGTATGCGCCACGCCTAAGAACAACTCGTTAAACCTGGCCCTCTGCGCGGCATTTGCGAATCTTCGTTTACGAGTAAGCTGCATAATATCATCATAATTCATCTTTTTCTCGTCTTAATAAAATCCAGCTCGCTCGACTTAAGGTATAAAACCTCAACTGGATTACGCAATTAAAGTTTCTGATGAAACTTCAACGTAGCCTGATGTAATTTCCAAGGATATGGCACTCGAGTTGAGTCATTATTATCCTAACAGTCGGATGAGCAGAGGTCAAGTTTCCGTTCTTCTTTCAAATCGATTAAAAGTAAATAAACAGACATTTTCGCTGTCAATTAAAGTCCAACTGCAAATCTCTCGGGGAGCCCCAGTTATAATACAGCAAGATTTGTCGCGCGCAAAATACACGCGGTCGGCTCGCGCAGAATGAAAAATCACGCGCACGCGATACGCTCGTACGGCATGCAATATTTTTTCTACCAAATATAACACACTCACGCACACACGGAGTCGCAGAGTTTAAAAAATGAGCGCGCGGACTTTTTGTAACGCGCCGCATTGCGAAAGGTGTGTATGTGTGTGTGTGTGTGTGTGTGTGTGTGTGTGTGTGTGTGTGTATGCTGTGGCCAACAAAACGAGATGACGAGTGTAATTTCGCGCTACCGTACCTCGTCAGTCGTCAACGTGTGTATAAACATACACTGCGTGCTCAAAGCAAAATGACGAAATTTTGGTGGAAACTGCAGGTAGCTGGCTACAGGCAGGCAGATATCTTACGACGTTGTCGATGTCGTTGTTGTCGTTGTTGTTGTCGTTGTCGCTGCTTTTTTTTCTCTCGGTAAACACACGAGCCAGAAGTAGGTACCTACGACGGGTGCGCGCATGCGAACAACCGTTTTTACGATTTATCGCGATACATAGCGGCGGCCACCTCGAGTATGTATAACATTTTTTTAATATAATTAATATGCTAATCGATCGAGGCATGCATGTATATAAATGTTAGGCCGACTCTTTCTTCAACCATTTGCATGTTGCTCAACGCTCTTGTATTTTAATAGTAGTACTATTTTTTTTTTCTACTGTAATAATTTTCTAGTGTGCGTCATGAAAAATTCTCCCGCGCATATGATATACATCGATTATGCATGCGAGCTTTGGAAATTTCATAAAAGCATTGCGGGCATGAGCGCGAGGAGCGTGAGGCAAAGTAAACATATGTGCATATGCTTGTTGTGTGTTCGCCGATTCCTTCGATGCGACCAGCTCGAGAGAGCGAGAAAGGAGGCAAAATATTATTTTTCTCTCGCTGAACTATTGTCGTGTACTTGCTATTCGCAGCCATCTCGCGGACTCGATGTTTTTCCCTCGAGAAAAAGGAGCCAAGAGATACGCGGAAGTGTAGCTTGATGAGAAAGAGAGACAGAGAGTAAGGCACAGAGTGAAAAGATAATAGCGGGACGACAGTTGGAATTGCTCGGCCGATGACGCGCCACGGCTCGACCGAAGCTGCCACGCACAAAGGATTTTTGATATGCAATTCATATAGAGTGATGTTTAATTTCGTATAAAAAAAAGAAAAATAATTTTCGAGCAGCCGTTTCGAGTGATATAAGCCGCACAGTGGCGCGGGGGATCGTACACCGAGCGAGGCATCTCGTTTTTTGGCTGGCATACACATATATATAATAGAGCTTATCGAAAAAATAAATCATGTTTCGAATTCTCGCTCTCGGCGCGCAGACTCGTGATCTCTTTTTTCTTCTTGCCGCGGCCGATCTTCATCGCGTTACGTCACGCGCTCGAGTCTTATATTCCGCGTTATATATACGTGCTCGGCTGTATACATATACAAACTACCGTTGAGCGCGGCTACAGTTGCAACACATGCTCCGACTCGAGTTCGGCGTGTGCATATAACGAGCCATTCCTCTATATACCTGCATGTGTATACAAGACAATTGTTCGACGTCTCCGCAGTATAGATGCACGCACACCGGCAAAACATACAACAAATTATTACTTAATAATAATTTACCGACGCTTGTCAACTCGAGCTTGGTCCGCGATCATTAAAATTAAAACTCGATGAAATTATCGAGCCTCCGAGGCACGTATAGGTTGATTAGCGAGCGAGCGAGCTGCAAGCGCCCGCATGTATGTACACGCCGTACTGCCAATGAGAAAGGACGATTTTTCCATATCACAATCAGCGGCTCACGACGGTCTCTCGAGTGTTTTTTTGTTCCGACGCAGCCGACTCGTAATATACTTTGTATTTTTTCCATCGGCCGTCCCGCTCACGAGACCAAAAATATAAAGAAACACTTCCTCCTGTTGCGGACCGAGCTGGACTATTATGCGGCGACGCGTTTGCTCGCTCGCGTTGTTCGCTCATACAAAAAACACGCACACGTGCCGCGCGCAGCAACGCCGCTTTTTTGTGGGTCAAAATTTGAATGGCCTGTCTTTGCCGTTGAGATATGCCACAAGCGTTACAAATCATACACACATACACCCAGAGAGTTGGGCATAGAGTCACAGTGAAAGGATAAAATGTACGCGCATGCAGAAACCTATTACATTTCCTCTCGCCTAGCTTTTTTTTTCTCTCTCCTCTTCTTCCCTTTGCTATAATACATAATGAGGCTGTTAACACACTTGTTGAGTTCTCTCTCGGCGCGGCACAGCTGCACAGCTGCGGTTGCTCTGGCTTTTGATGGAAAAAAGTGGTTGCGAGTGTGTCGTCATTGGCTTTTGATTTATTATTATTTTCAGCGATGGATCAATTTGAGAAAAATTGCCTCGCTTCGGAAATTAATCTAATTGAACTCTAATGCGGCTATCTTACGCAACGTTCTACAACCTGCGCGAGAACGGATAATTAAACTGCGAGCCTCAAAAAGTATGAAAAAGTCGAGAACAGAGCTAAGGTAATCTGACGTTTTCAAAGGAAGCAGGCAAAAACGGGCTTTGCTTCTCTCGAGTCGCGTACATACCTGCGTATACATGGATGCGTCACATCTACGCCGCGAAACTCATTTCATTGTTAATTGTTTTTATCTCGGAGACGGCGGTGTGTACGGACTCGCGGAGATGTTGCGCGTCGCGATGATTTACCATTTATTTGAACTTGGTATCGAGCGCAGAAAGGTGCGCTATTATCGCGGCGGCTCTCGTCGCCGACTCGACAGTCGTACGCGATACAGGAGGGCCGAGTGTCGGGGCGTTAGCCGCAGCTATGATCGAACTGCAAGAGCTGAAGAGAAGCACGAGAGAAAATCATCATAAACGAGGTAAATTTGCAGCTCTAAAAGGCGCATTATGTAAAGGCTTGCAACGATTACGTGTATTATATAGACAAACGCAGCCGCTTATGCAGCAGCGCATATTACGTTACAGATACTCCGCCGACCAATACTATGGTTTTTTCCACTCTCGTTCGCATGTACACGAGAAAAAAAGTGAGAAGAGAATACAGCGAGTAAATGTAAATGGCAAATTCATATGGCTCTAGAGAACGTAACTGTTTGTCCAACGTTGTCTATACGTATAGGCGCGCTACTCGCGCATTTGTTTACGAGAGACACAATATCGCGTAGAGGATCGATCGGTCAACGCACTTTTTCTAGCCGCCTATTACCAGACGCGAGTTTTTTCCTCTACAATCGCTACGTTGTCAATTGCTCCCTGACCCGAGTTCAGGCGCGATAATGCGTGCGTCTCTCTTTGGCGCATTAGCTCGTCGTCGATCTACGCCACCTGCGATTAATTCGACTTATTTGCAGCTAGACATGGAGCAGCCGGCAGAGCGTCGCGTTATCCACTCAGCGCCGAGGAGTACCGACGCCGAGAGATGCGCGATCGAGCTTTCAAGCACAAAATCAAGCTGTTCATCGTCGGCCTCGGCTCGTTCCTCTCGCTCCTGCTGATCTACTGCCTCTGGCGGGTTCACTCCATACAGCGACACACCAATTCCCTGCAGCAGACGGTCAATTATCGGATATTCAGCTACGAGGAGGTGCAGGCCATCGACAGGGCCCAGCAGCAAGACGCCGTCGACGTCGAGTCGAGCGATCTCGACGACGGCTAGCTCCGCTTTTATTCGTGCAGTTTTTTTACTTATTTATATACTTTTTCCATCTACTTGTGCGATTCCTATCCGAATAAATGATGTTCGTCCGTACGCCAAGTGATATATTTGAATTTATTATGACGGAGCTTGGAGGGAAAATGATAAGCGCTCGGTCGACGAGTGCAAAGCGATGAAAACGAATCAACAACAAGAGCGGTTCGCTTAGAGAGAGAAGCGGAATCGATAACTCGCCTGCCGATGCTGCATTTTCAAAAAAATAGAAAAAATTTTATGCACTCTATAATCTCGAACGTTGCGCATATCGGAGCGAGTACGAAGGGGGAGCAGCGTAAACGCGGACTCGATAAAAGGTCAGTACGGCTGCTGAAATCGTCGCGACAAAGTCGCGCATACATGTGCCAGAGATGAACCATTCGTACGAGAAGAACTGCGAATGTAAGTTTTCTTCCATTTTCGTTGCTCCTTTCCTCAACGACGATTTCATCTTCGCGACTCGCGTGATCGTAAAAATCGACCGAACGTGTAACCGCGTGTCGACTTTCTCGTTAAAGGATCGACTGTTTTAGGCAAAAATAACTACGATTCGACCTCTATCGAGTTGCTGAATTACGAGAGCGGATACTACCCGAGCAGCAGCTGCAGATCGAGACTCTCGACGGGCTTTCGCTGCGTCTTCAATGCTCTGGTGATTCTCGGTCTGGCCTACGCCCTCTGGCGCGTCCACGCGATCGACGAGACCCTCGGGGCCCACGAGAAGCTCGACAGCGTAACGCAACTGATCAGGCACGAGCACGGCCGGGCGAGGTTCGCTCGATCCCTCAAAGCCGGCGACTCGAATGGCTTCGAGGCGAGCGACAAGCAGCTGCCACGGGGCTCTCTGCCGAGCTCGAAGAACGAGCCAGCCCCCGTCGCGACGCAGAAACCGGCCCTCGCCAAGGACACCTTCGAGGACATGGTCAACGCCTTGTTTTACCAAATACGGAAGATGCACAACGACACGGAGCGATCGAACTTCGACAACAACATGAAAGCCGTCTTTCAGGCTTGGTTCCCGGTTTTCGAGGCCCTGCTGCCGAGCGAGATCAGCAGCGAGTTGAGGGACAAGAGACAAGCGCCACCCAAGAGCAGCGAAGAGTCGTCCGAAGAGAAGAAGCCTCGAGCTTAAAATCTTCCTTAATATTGTAATTGTGAATCTGCTTTAACATTTTCGACACACGTATAAATAAAGGTATTTTCGGATGCGCATGTCGATGAAGCCTGATTTGTGAAATTAGCGAGCGTATAACGATATTACCGAGTCGCACCCTTGGCTCGTCGAATCGAAAATCGCGTATATAACATTATGGATGAGCAGGGCGAGCCGCGGCGGTTGCCGATCGAAGCGACAAGGTCGAACAGGGCGGCAAATTGCACCGAGATAAATAATTGAAAAAGCGCCGACAGAATAATGGCATCTTAATTCCTTGGATTCTCTTCGATTGTGCATGCGCTGCATCGGAGCTCAAGTATCGACCTGGCGCGCGGACTGCGGAATTAATGTAAATCTTGATTTCGCGTTGCCTCGCTGCGAGCTGAATAAAAAATTTGCAAGACTTCCGTTTGGCGCGTGATTGATTCGTGCGGCCGACAGCGTTTAATTCTTGTCAAAAAAGTAAAATGCATTGCGCGCGATCGCCGCGAGTTAACACGGAAGGAGAGGGTTGCATATCGTGCAGGGGCCAGAGCTCCGCAACGAGGAGCAGCTAATCGAATCGAGTGGAATAACTATAAATACGACCCTCTAACTACCGACCATTATGCCGTGTACCAGTGGCTCACAAGGACAGAGAAAAGAAATACATTTGCGATTAAACGGCCGACTATCCGCGCGCCCGATCTATTTATGTGATATGCAAAAAGGTGCGAATTTTCACTCTCGTCGCTCGCTCGCTCGCTCGTGCAGGAGCGCGTGTGCATTAAATTGCTCGCTGAAAAAATCGTGACGATTCAAATTGAATGTGCCATCACGTGATTCTAATTTGTCATTCGCGCGCATGATATACGTATCTAGATCGAGATTGCCATCTTAATAGCAGAGCTTTCCTTCGTACTGCTTTTTTTCACCTATATAGCATTCGTAGTTTTTTTTTACGTATTTCAATTATTTTGAACGGTCGCTCCCACCACTCGAATACTAAACTTCTGTCCCAGCCAGCTCGGCGTAATCAACGTCGTTCTTTAATTGGACCCGCGCACACATTTTTGGGTTGCAAGTCCATTAATCGGTTTCCTTCGTTAATCGCACTTGCAACCTAATTTTTATAAGGCCGGTTTTATTATTCAGTCACGGCTCGATTCATTTCGATCACGAATTCCGTCGACTGTCGAGGAAAAATCATCGGCCACTCGTAATCGATGATTAATCCCCAACGATCCGAGTCCGAGTCGCAGGCCCGAGTTAAATATGCAGAGGCCAAATCGATGCCGTGCATCGCGCTCGAGCTGCATGTACGAGCGCGTGAATAACCCCTTGGTGGAGCGCAAGTCGCGAGTCGAGCTTTCCTTCGGCTCTGCGAGCTCGCCCCCGTGTCCAACAATAGTCATGCATGCACAAGCCTCCTCCCTCCTGCCTCGCGGAGGAAAAATAACACGCTCGTGTGGGGGTGGAGGTGGTGGCGGTGGTTGAGAAGCGTGTATCGTCGAGGTCTTAAAAGCCCTAACGTAGCTCGCTGCAAGCGCAGTAATCCACCCTCCGAGAGCAAGCGAACATGCTGCACTGACTCGAGTCCTTCGGTGCTCGATATCTCCCTCCCTCACGAGTGTGTTTTTCACGGCGCGTTTACAAGTGGTTGTTTCGGGTGTGCTTCGATCGCCTTAAAGTTCGACGACGGTTGTTCGGCGATATGTCGGCCGCCAAAAGCGTCAAGCTGTCGAGGAGTCGACTCATCGTTGCTGGCCTCATGCTCGTGGCTCTCGTGCAGCCCTGCTGGCCGCTGGCGCTCACGACCTTTGGCAAGAGCAATCCCCAGAACAATCAGCAGAGTCAAAATAACGACAGGAAGGATGGCGAAAGTAAGTTTGCGCTAGCTCGTTCACGGCCGTTCCTTCGACCGTTTGAGTCTTTGTCTCGCTGCGACGATTTTCACTGTCAATCATTTAACCAAGATTTTCAGGCCAATGTTAAAATCGACATTTTCTCACAACTTATGCAAGAGATCGATAGAATATCAATGTGGTTTATTAACACCGAGGGCGAAATGTCGTTGCAGACCTCTAAGCATAAATATTTAGTAGGAATCGTTGAACATATTATTTTTTAACACTGGCGTCCGCGACTCTACAATCGAGATTCGAGATTTCTCGGGCAATACATTAGTCTTATAAAGTTTTATCCCGACACAAATCTTTGACGAGGTTTCATGCCTCGGAAGGTTGATAAAGAAAAAATCGAGTGCAACCCCCATAAGGAACGTAGACAAAGAACAGCGACTGCACACGAATGTGGCCCGCGATACGGCGTACCGAGCAAAAGAAAAGCCACGAAAAATCGATCGTAAAAATATAGCGCGCCTTGCAACGGAAGAAAGTCGTCGGGTCGATTTTCCAGAGCTACCCCCTACGTGTGCTCGCGTGTATGCGTGATGTGTGCGAGTGTACGTCCGCAACAGGACGTAATTTTCCTTTGTGCTGGTGGGCTTGGCGTATCGGCCTCTCTCGCATGTTCAACGCTCGTTCCTCGGCAGCGATCGTTCGGCCCGAGTGATCCGCTCGCGTCGGCGTTCGTCCGCATGCAAAAGCACAGGATGCGCCATTAATATCGGGGGGATGCGGCCGAACGATCGGCTCGATACTTATTGAAATATGCTTCTTTATGCTTGGCTCGTACACGTGAACTTGATCTAGATGCGCAGCGACGACGCGGACTCGCCGACGAAATTGATATAACATTTTACTCGCGTATATACTCGCGAGAAAGCTAACAACATCGTACACGCGTGTTGCGGCTCTCGGCCGCGTGCACATAGTTTCATGCAGCACTTGTGCGAGTCGTTGAAATAATATCATAAACGCTCGAGTCTCGAGAAACTTTCAAACTGCGAGATTAAATTAGAAACTTGGATTAACTTTGGCATTTCTATATTTTGAAATAATCATAGTCGTAGGCGAGTAAAGTATAACCATGTAAAAACGTACACAGGCTGGCTCTGTTTTTTTAATTATCATCGCGGTTGACTTTGCAAAACTCGTGCTAAAAGTCCATTAAAAAAAAGGGGGGTACGAAAGCCACACTCGCGCACATTCATCTCGCTGCTAGGTTGAAAATTGATATCGTCGATCTCTCGCGCGGCGAGTGTCAAGGACTCACGGTGTGCATATTGCGATATCCCCTCATCACAATGCGCTCACACATGCAGTCGTCTAATAGTCACGAACGAGTACGAAAAGGTAATGTGAGTAAAGGTACGGGGGGTGCACCGCGTTGGGTAAATTCATCGATCGAAACAATCGGGCGCGACAAAAAAAAAAAAAATGGCCGAACGCGCGCCGATCCGAAACGATACACTTTCAATCTGGGAAATCGGCAGGTATGATAATCTCACATTATGTCAATTTTGAAAGCTGCTGGAGATCACGGCTGACTGTGGCTTGTTTTCGATTTTTTTGTCCTAGGTGAGAGGCAGTTGTCAGCTCCGTACGAGCAACACTCGAAAAAGGACGTAGCGAGATTTCCGAGATGGGTGCGAGGCGGCACGCAATTTTTGTTCATTAAAAAAAAGAAAAAAAGTATATGACAAATGTATATAGAGTTTACATCTTACTCTAATTTCACTTTATTCTCGACACACGAACATTTCTAGCCTTTACTTTCGACAACTCGCAGGGGGGACGTCTATGAGCTCTGCTTCTCTATCGTTTGCTAAATCTTATACATGCATCTAACGATTTTCCAACTATTGTAATTACTCTAACTGAAATACAGCTTACTACTGTCTCTCTTACGAACGAAGATTTTTCACGCGCAGCTTTCCTCTCTCCTCTGCCTCTCAACTTTTTCTGCTCAATAAAACTCTTCCAACTGAACTACTTGTATCAATATATGAGAAAATTGTAAGCCAACGAATCGCAGAGCCGATTTAAAAGCTCCTCGCTCGTGAATTTCTGTTGCAGGAGTCCAAGCTCGGGAGTGCGCCTCGGATTCCGAGTGCGCCGGCATCAAGGGGGCCTCCTGCCTCGACAGCATATTCGCCAAGGATAACAAACGACGCTGCCTCTGCGGTGACTACCGCGAGCCTCGCAACGGCCTCTGCGACAACCAGTACAAAAGTAAGCGCAATTACTCCATTCGCCAGAGAGAAAGAGAGAGAGACCGAGGCTGCAATTGCACGATTTTACGCAACGAGCGAGCCTAAACGCTAAACACACGTAAACTTACAATGGCGCGTGTTTCACGCCTCTGGCTAATTTCATGGAACGGCCTATAAAAGTCTCACCTCGACGTTCGGCCGACTTCCGAAATCCAATTTTTACGACTTCCTACGCCGCGGAGGGTACGAAAAGCCCAAGGAAGCGTGACAAGGCCTTCGATATTTGCTCGCCGCGAACTTGGTCCGCGCACACGAGGCACGAGAAATCGCGTGCACGCATCGCGTCGTATCGAAAAAAAAAAAAAGAAAACTCTGAAAAATCACGTAGCTCGGTAATTTTTTGTCAATTTTCTAGCGGTCTCTGGAGTGGTCGTTTTTTCTTCGCACCTGCTCAAACGACGACGATTGCCGCGCGCGGCTAATAGTTTCGAAACGACACTCGTGCCGAGCGGGGCCTGCGCAACCCCGCGGGGGGTTCAGTGGCCGCCGCGAATTTCGCGGTGCCAACGCCATACACGGTATATTTATATACTCGGCGCTTCTCGTGCCTCGCTTTCGTGACGTACGATAAGGTGAGTCTCGAGCTCGTGTTTCCATGTAGCGATGCTCGATCGCGTGACATTCGGCCGTGTCTACCGGTATCTATAATACATAATACCTACATACGGCAGAAAAAACATTTTTTTTCTACGCTCATGCGGATGTTTGTATTTATCGTAATGACGCTCCGTCGCATGATCGACTCCGTCTATGTCTCGTGAATTATCAATAGATCGAGCTCCCCCCCCCGCGTAATTGTAATATCGCATGTACCTATATGCACGCGTTACGTTTTCGCTGCGCGAAAATAGAAAATCGCCATGGGCGAACGATCGATCGGCGCTCGAAAAAAGCTCCTCTACGCGCCCCCGCGAACAGCGATACAAATCAAACGCTCGGCGAGAGCTGTCTGCCGTCTCAATTACCGGAAGCTCGGCTTGGTATCGCCGGCCAAGCGGTGCCAGGCTGCTAATCGATCGCGCCTCGTTATGGGCGCTGCTTATTGCTCTCTGCCGCGCGTCCGATCGATTGAGTCGTATTGTACGCGAGCCTCGTCGATCGGCCCAATTGCTTTTCTTACAGCTCAGTTCGAATAATCGATTGCCTTTTTTTCCTTCTCTGCCTCGTGTTAAAGGTGCGAAGGTGCTGTGCAACAACAACGACGAGTGCACCCCGGGGGCTCAATGTATGTTGGGCAACGATACGAGCTTGCCTGGCAGGCGCTGCTGGTGCTTGTCGGGCTACGAAATTGACGAGGATCGCCAATGCAGTGGTAATACGTTCACTCTTTCTTTTTATTTCATTTTGAAGTTAAACTTTTTTTTTTTTTAATTATTAAAGGAAAAGAAAATCGATATTTTCATGTTTTGTACTCGTTAGTTTGCGCAACTCTGCCAGTTTATTGTCTGTGTTTTTAACGGGTGTTGTTTTAAAATCTTTCGCATAAATTCAAAATCACAGTTCGAGATTTATAATAATAAAGTTCAAATCTGATATGGAACTTTATGAGACATGCAAAAATGCACTTGAACACATACACGTAGAAAATTGTAACAATAATTATACGCACGCGCATACAAAAGTCTATATCGAAAATCTTCAAGACCTACATTGTAATAAGTTTTTTATTATTCTTGACTCAACATAGAAAAACTTTCTTTTTTGTTTGTTTTCAGGCACTCCGGTATCGTTTAGCATTTCAGTATTATGGTTACTGGTTGGTCTACTGATAACTGGAAATGCCTAGGCTCAAAATCAGCCAATGTCACAGAGCGCAACCGTATCGTTGAATACAATAAGAAATTAAAAAATTAGACAATTGCAACGATAGATAGATTAATACAAAGAACATAAATGTTATGTTTATTGTACGAACTCAAATTATGTTATAAGATTTTGTTAAGAATATAACAAAATAATTAATCGACGTACTTATAAAAGTATCAAAAATTTCATTATATATTTAAAACATGAACCAATGTTGCCTTCTGCATAAAATTGTCTAAAATCCATTTTACGAAAATTCATGTCTAGTTGTACACAAAAAAACTCGTTCGATTCACACGATTACATTACAAAATATTTTCATAGATTTATAACGTTTGTACTTAGACGGTGAGCTGCTTCAGTGTATAATATATCTCTTTTAAAATAAAACATCACGGATTTGGTTTAAAACCAGAATTCGATTATTTTAGATAATCGTGTGGTTTGCACTCATCAATTATCTTTGAAAATTTATATTATAATAATGATGTAAAAAACAATAAAGTTCGAGTTTAAAAAAATGGCACGTCTTAATCTACCCGATCATAAGCCTAACGACGCTTCTTGAATACCAACTGAACGATGTGGCTACCAGTCTGTCCACCGAACTTTATCGTGGGTTGTTGTATTTCTTTTTCCAATTCAAAAACTGTAAAATAAAAATTGAGCAATCAAGTCGAGAACGAAAATACGATTGAAATTGTCGATACTTACGATCTTTGAAGTGATCCGTAAGCTCGCTTTTAGTCCAGTTGCAAGACGTAATGGCCAGATAACCGTCAACAGTGAGCATATCCCGAACATTTTCCAAATATTGTCGCCTTTTCATCGATGCGTTATCCGGCGAAAGACTGATGGCATCATAGGTACCTTTGTCAAAGGCCAAATCAAATTTAGGAGTGAAACTCGTGGGTTTGGTGATGTCAGAGACTAACAGCTCGATTCCTTTGTACTTGTCTTCGTCGAGTACTTTGCGGGCCAGCTCAATGGCCTTGGGCGAGTAATCGGCACCATAGAGTGTTTCGTAACCGGCGTCCCGCAGGTGCTTAAGGCTTACGCCGTTACCACAGCCTAAATCGATGATCCGAGCCGTTTTCGGTACGTTGCCGGCTATGTACCTGCAATTTAATGATTTATTTTATATTTCCAGCTCGACTGGTAAAGCAGAAATTTTCCGAAAAAATTTTCACAACTATTATGGATTGAAATTGCTTTTTTAAAATAAAGTTACTGACGCTTGAATTAAAAATATTCAAAATTGACTGTATTTTTTTTTAAACGCACGATAGTTTCAAAAACTGTCAAGCATGGCAGCACCAATCAACTACTTTACCATGTGTCACGACTCACGTGTGATACTTTTTCTCTTTTTAAAAATCAAAACATAGGGGTCTATGAAATTCGAAATAACAAAATGAACATCACGAATACTTACTTGACCATTGTTTTAGAACTGCGTTCTCCAAACCAAATTTCACCGACGTCACCATGATCTTCGAAATTTTCCAGTTCTTGCGAATAAGTTTCTTCCCAACTGAAGAGTTTAAACATTCATATATTTATTGCTCATTAGTAACTTCTCTATTATTTTTACGACTTACTAGTCTTTGGTGCCCAATTCGGAACTTTTTAATTCTTCAGTTTCTTCCGATTCGGCATTTTTTACTTCTTCAACATTTTCCACTTTCTCAGTTTTTCCTGATTCAGGATGTTTCACTTCTTTAATAGGCGACATTTCGGAACTTATTAATTGTTTAAAAAGTACCGATAAGGAGTCTGTCAAGTTATCAATATAACGATCAGTTACAGAATCTAGCAATTTTTCTTAAATTTTGTTATTGTTAGCATTCAAAAGAACTCATTCTTACGACCTGCTAATTAACATGCTGCTATACTAACTTATAAATAATTAATACTTATTCGTTACTTAAAACACATTTAAAACTAAACCACTCGAATTCTGTCGGTGCGAATCACACGACCATGCGATTGCAATTGTGTACTGATCTAACCTCCAGCACATAATTCTAGTGTCTCGTCTGCAACAACACAGTTGTGTAGAGTCGGCTGTCGGAGTAAAGTGATAGTGCGACTTTCAAAAAATAAGAACTATGCTTGTAGCCTTCTGAGAGCTATGAGCACACGGTTTTATATGCATTTAATCGCATAGATTTAAATTAAATCACAACAATAATTATAACATTTATAACTTTAAGAGTATTTTATTTAATTTACAAAAATTTTTAATATTATCGTACTAGCAAAATTGTGAATCTATTAAATAGTTAGTAGATTTTAATTTAAGTTTGTTATTTTATTTTTCGATACCATACCAATAAGAGAATAATTTTTTAAAACAGTACTAATATTTTATAAAAAATTACTCTGAAGAAGAAAGTACTTAAATAAGTAACAAATAAATGATTTTAGCGATTGGTATGGTAAAGAAATCTTTTAAGTCAATTGTTTCTCTATTATATATTTTTAATGCAAAAAACGTGCCCTTTATTTCGCTACAAGCTAGTTATTTTTGCAATTGAGCCCTCCAGTTACAGTCCCTCTCTCGTTGCCAATCCCTCCTCCGATTTTGCACAAGTCTGTCTGCAATGTGCGTAAACACTGCGCAAAGCGCCATCAAACCATAGCGGACGGTACTGAGCACTCGGCAGACGGCTAGCGAATTTTGTAGAAGAGACATTTTTCTCATATCACTGTTAGGTTGCGTGTTGAGGTGACACCGCCACAGACCGGTTTGCATACATTTCCACATTTCTTACGTGATTGACAAACATGTCTTCTCTCAATATTTCCGGAGTTTTCAATTTGGGTATGTTCAAATTTTCTAATATCATACATATAAATATTTCGCGGAACCGATATACTTTTCACTGCTCACAATGCCAGTGTCACGTCGCAATGTTATCTAATGATTTCATTTTTTAAGGAAAACAATGCGTGAAGGGGCAGAGTTTAGTGTTGAGGTCCATGTCAGCGACTGCTCAACCAAAATTGCAAGAAAATATGAAACCTAAAACTGCAATTGTCATGATGAATATGGGTGGCCCTACAAGCACCGATAAAGTTGGAGAGTATTTGCATAGAATTATGACTGATCGAGACATGATCCAATTACCTGTTCAAAGGTAAAATTTTTGCTGTGTCATATGAATTAAACAGTAGTTTTCAATATTACTATTGCTTATTGTTATGTAAACTTATCTAATTTGTTATCAGTCGCCTAGGACCATGGATTGCTCAGCGCAGAACATCTGAAGTTCAAAAGAAATACCAAGAAATAGGTGGTGGCTCACCTATCTTAAAATGGACCAATATGCAAGGTGAATTATTATGCAAAAAATTGGATCAAATGTCTCCAGAAACTGCACCGCATAAACACTATGTTGCATTTAGATATGCAGATCCTCTGACAGAAGTAACTTTAGAACAAATAGAAGAGTGAGATTCATTTTAGTAATGATAATATTCATCATAATCAAAATAAAAATTCAATAAAAATATGTACATATTATTGTTAACATTGAATTTTCTTTGCAGAGAGGGTGCTGAGCGAACTATTCTATTTTCACAATATCCTCAATATAGTTGTGCAACGAGTGGTTCTAGTTTTAATGTTATCCACAGGTTTTATAAAAACAGGTAAACAAATTTTTTATCAGTCTAGTATTAGTAGTACTGATTTACTCAAAATTTTAATTAAATTTAAATAATTAAAGGAAGTTCCCAGAAAAATCCAAATGGAGTGTAATTGATAGGTGGTCTACGCATCCACTTTTGGTTAAGACTTTTGCTGAGCGCATAAAAGAAGAATTGAGACAGTTTCCTGAAAATGTGCGAAAAGATGTCATCATTCTATTTTCTGCCCATTCTTTACCATTAAAGGTATCTTTATTTTTATTTAATACATCAAATTCAGGTGAAATGTAACAAAATTTGATTGATAAAACTATTAAATCTATAAATTAGGCTGTCAATAGAGGTGATCCATACCCATCAGAAGTTGGTGCTACAGTTCAACTTGTTATGGAAGAATTAAAGTATTGCAACCCATACAATTTAGTGTGGCAGTCAAAGGTAAAATGAGAGTAATGATAAATTAAAAATTATTATCATAAATAAATAGTAATCATAAATAAAAAATCATAATAAATAGTTAATTCCATAAATAAATAAATGTTTGTAAAATTTAGGTTGGACCATTGCCATGGTTAGGACCATTTACAGATGAAGCTTTGAAAGGATATAAAGAGCAGGGTAAAAATAATTTTATATTGGTTCCCATTGCCTTTGTAAATGAACATATTGAAACTCTTCATGAGATGGATATTGAATATTGTCATGATCTTGGAAAAGAGGTTTGTATTCTGATGTTGAAATTGTTATCTAGATTATAATGACATTTTGAAATATTCACTAAAAAATTTTTATTGGGTTTCATAGCTTAAAATCGACAATATACGACGAGCTAAAGCACCGAACGATCATCCTTTATTCATCGAGGCGCTCGCAGACATCGTTGTTACTCACATGAAGTCTGATCAAAGAGTTACTCCGAAATTCCTTAATAGATGTCCACATTGTGTCAATCAAAATTGTGCAGACACAAAAAATTGGTTTAGCAAAATTTGTAAGCTGAATTAGAATTTGAAAAATAAAATAGAGATTTGTAATTTGTACATTTATCTAATTAGTTGTATTACTATTACATTATTATGTTTATAAAGAAACGATTGTTAATAAAGGTGGTTGATTATCTAATAAGTATTTGTGCTTTATAAAAAAAATTGTACAATTTAAGTTTCTCGAGTAAGGGTAAAGTTATAAATGTTTATTCTTTGTAACGAAAATTTGACGTGTTATAAAATTATAAAACGAGCATCAATTTTTCTTCAAAATTATTTAAAATTAAAAAAAATTTTTTTGGCTTTTAATAATTGATTGCAAAGAAACTAATGACAAATGCAAAGGAATTATTTTTAAAATCAGTCAATAAAAAATAGAGGGTTTTTAAAGGTCTCAGTCGTGGTATCGTATTTCGTTCATAACTGGATTTAACCAGCTTAAATGTATTTTATTATTCTTGGAAATATAAGATACCCAAAGACTGGGAGCTATATCAAATAATTAGCAAATTTCATGTACTATTTAAAGCTGTTTGCACGAAGCGCATTCGAGCATCGGCAACTTTAAAGCGTTAAATTTAGACGCTAGTCTCGAAAAAAAGAACAAATCTTATCGGTGAAATTAATTAATAACTGAGCTCAATAGAGGACGAAAAAAAGAATACTGCTCCAATCGTAAGTATCGATGTGCATTTGATTGGAACATCAAAGCGCCAACAGTGGAGACCCGTTAAATTGTAAAAAATGATTCGAAATGCCTGATCTCGGAGTTGGAAAAAATAAATCATATATTAGTCTGTCCGAGGCATAAAATGTCATCGATACTCGTGTCTGCAAAGTCGGATTATGGCGAGAGCAGCAGTAGTTTAGATCTCTGGCTGAATGCTCCCCTCCACCGGGTCGTGTCTCGGTGCAAGTCGAGTCTCTCGGTGTGCAGTCTCGGGTCGTCGGCTGTCTGGAAGACGACGACGGCGGCGGCGGTGGCACAGGGCTGCTGCACTGGTAACTCGGCAAGTGGCAGCCCGCAGCGTTATTTGCGCGCGTCGGCGCCTTGCGCAGCGGCTGAAGCTAGAAAAGGACGGCTACTAGCATGAACATATATATGTATAGTAGTAGTCCGTAGTAGTAGTCGTCGGCGGTGTGCGCGCGCGGCGATTGCTACATGCACGAGGAGTCCCGAGCGATCGCGGGGAGTCAGGAGCGCGAGCCACAGGCAGGCAGACAGCAGTGGCAGCCGAGGCGCCGCCTATTTAACATGGGCAGAAAGTTTGCGCGTCGTCAGTACTGGTCATGATATCGCGGCGCGTTGTTGTTGTTGTTGCTGCTGTTGCTGCTGTCGCTGGCGTGCTTTCCGCTGCAGCTGTCGAGCTATTATAATAATAATTGTCGAGCGCGAGAGACGCTTAAAACCTATTTACGGGGCAGGATGACGACGGCCAAGACCAAGGCACCGTTGTCATCGGCCAGTGCTAAAACCTTGACGAACATGTGGTGCTTTTTAGTTGTAATATCGTTGATCGTCGTGTCGTCCGATGCTGACAGCGGCAGCTTCATCGACGATCATCATCGCCACTGCAGTCATCGACATCCACGTGCACACGAGGTTAGCCCATCAACTCAGCAACAATCACAAAACAATCCTAGCTGCGGCAAAAATACCTGCGATCCTTTGTCTGCATGCAGTTTTTCTTGGTCTTTCTTTAAAGCGACTCCGAAACTCTCCGCAGTCGCTCGTAGCACGCGCCAACTCTATATAGATATACGTCCGCATGTACACAAGCGTACGCTCGAGAGAGAAAGTGTTTCTCACGTCGAGAGTCTCGGGCGAGCGATGACGCCGATGAACTCGCAGGATCATATATATTTACATTATAATCGCACATAACCTCAAGTCCTATGCATCCCGGTTTATTGTTAATGTTATTTTACATTGTATTCGATATGATTGCGATGCGCATTTCCACGTGCTCTATCGGTCCGAGCGCCGATTGTCCAAATCGTGCTTTCCTTCAAATAACTACGAGCGCTCCGAAGCTCCGCTCCGAAATTCGCGAGCTAGCCCAATATACAAGGTCCGTTTATGTTTTCATTCGTTTGTTGCGTGTATAAACATAGTCGAACGTGATTCCACTTAACGGTCGATCACCGACGCTACATGAGTATCACTCCTGATTTGTACACATTATCCGATGCTCCGTGTCAAAAGGATGAAAGTTTCGAGCGATACTTTTTTTCACGCACCATGAGTAGACGTATACGACTGCTCGAGAGACGAAGCAAGATGAACAAGCAACATGATTTGTCGCACTCTCGAGTTTCCATGAGTATTCGATTTACCATCGACGAGTAGACTCGAAACAAAGTTCTCTCTTTTTTGAATTTTCAAGGGATAAAAGTAATGCGAACTAAGCTATCACCTTTTTGATCGCTGAGCTACAAATAGGCTCGGTCGATCGAATTATCCTACGAACATTGGATATTTTCCCTTTGACAGAAAGCAAAGCAGACGACGTAATATGTGCATAGACACGCTGACGTTCGATGTAGCTCGTCGTAGGTACCTACTCATGGAGAATTTACCGCACAGATCTCTGGCTCCAGGGACAACTTAACCTACTTTTGCGAATACTTTTTCGTCGCCTATAGCTTTTGGTTGTTAGTCGTTGGTCACCACGAAGCTACAAATAGTACCTACTGCTTTTTTATCGATCCTCAAATACTGGTCTCTTTCAGCTTTGTGGAAAAAGGCGTCTCATTCAGGAACTTCTTTGTTATCCGCGCTCGAGAGCTATGTTTTTTAATGTGCTTTTTTTTATCTCTCTCTCTCTCTGTCTATCTCCGTTCGCTACTTTTTGACCGAGACGCGCATTCATAATTTTCGAAGCAAAGAGAAAACTAGACGATGTTTTCGGTTGTTCGGCAAAGTTTATTTCCTCTCGCGCATGATGAGCTGTTTCTCATTGGTGCGCGCCGCGGCTTATTTTTGTTTTTCCCCGAGCGGAGCTTTTAACGAAGCGAAATTTTAGCCAAGCGATGCCACAGTTACGCTTTTTGTACAATACAAAACCGCAAATAATTCGTTATACGGAAAAAGTCGAGCGGATAGTTTGAGGGCCGCTGAAAACTTTTGAAATCGCTGGCTCGCAGTAGCGGCCTCTCGCTCTCGCGGGTTTGTCATAATTTTGCGCTGGAACATCCATCGGGCGAAAGCCGCAAGCGCGCGCGAGTATCGATAAACAAGGTCGTCCAAGTCCTTGGAAATCTATTGTAATTGAAAATCGTCCGCAGTCGCGCTCAACTTTTCCCCGAGAAAAGCCAAGCGCCGGTAAAATTGCGCGAACTTGATCCGGGCAAAAAATAATCAGAGCCCGGTAGCTAGGTCACGCGGAGGCTTCGTTATTACACGGGTCGTCGGATTCGGTGCAGAAAGAAAAGCGATTGGTGCTCTCGTGTGCTTGCATCGAGATGCTCGCGCGTCAACCGCGAGTCAGCAGAAGAGCGGCGGCGGCAGAAGAGCGTGTCGCACACGACACAGAGTCAGAGAGCGCGAAACACAAAGCTGCTCTCCTCTCGAGTTGCAATGAAAAATCAATAGCACTTATAGCCCAGCATAGGAACGAATCCGCACTATTTGTTTCCGTATTACGTCAAAACCCCTCTCGACTTTCTCTCTCGCTGTAGGTGACGCAGCCCCTCTCGGCTCTCTGCTCCCCGACTCTGTACTGTATACTGTGACTGGCGCCGCCGCCGCCGACGCTAAGTATGCTGCATGTGCGCGAAAATCCATACAAGCCCGTCGTCGTACCCGTTGCACACGGAGAGCGCGAATTTCGAGGTTATGTACGCTCGCTGCTCACGTGTTATATGCAGAGGTGCGCATGCACAATGTGCACTGCTGGTACACATAGACGCACACAGGCCACTGCAGTTTGAATTAGGCCAAGCGGTAGCAACGAACTGCACGAGTCAATGTGTATGTACTGTGTATGCAGTGTTTGTATCATTGGCAACGCAGTGCGATGGCCCGAGAGCGTACGATCGTTTTGTCACGTGCTCTACTGGACCACCTCCACCGCCACTGCTTCTGCTGTATACGGATTCGTTTGTTTAGGAAAATTCATTTCCGCCTCTACCGCCGCCGTCTTTTCACCCTCTCTCTCTCTGTTCTGTGATCTGCCATCGAGAGCCGAAGCGAATCTCTCGCGGCCAATTTCTCGACGCGCATCTGATTTGTCACAGCGACGACGAGCTTGCGCGAAATTTTATGAACCAGAGAATTGAAGTACTCTCTCTCTCTCGCGGACACGACCTAGTTCGACGTTTCTGCACGAACGAATATATCCTCTCCTCGTGGAGCTTTCGAGCTTTTTTGACCTCGCGGCACGCCCAGGGATATTTCAGCATCTCTCGGCGAATATGAAAAAAGTCCTGTACCTTATGCGTCCGAGTCCGTACCGTATGATGTATCGTACCCGTCAGGCGGGGTAAAAAAAAATGAGCATGAAATGTTGCGAACCATATCCTTTTTTTGATTTGCCCCGATGTATCAAATTTCATAAAGTTTCGAGAAAATCTCGTCAAACCGAGTGGATTTCCCGACGCAAATGTTGATTGATTTCGAGCCGATCATCTGTCAGGATGGGAAAATGTCACTGGTAATCTCGTTACTAATAATTTCTGCAACTTTGTGCTTTTTCCACGATCTTGACGAACTCTTGGAAATTCTTTGAATTTTTCACGACAAAAATCTCGACGCTCGCTACAGCCCCGATGTGTTTCTCTCCGCATCCTACTCGCGTTCGTTTCTCGAGCCGTGAGATTTTTTTTCCTATACATACCTGTAATATCAACACGCGAGAAGTAGTAGTGGTCTGTTTAAAAGGATTGTGTAATAGGCGTCTCGGATGAAATACGAGCGGTCTGGCTTCGAGTCGTACAATAAATGATCGACTGCACGCATTGGCTCGATGATATTAGCGCTCGACGTTAACTAATTGTTATTCGCGCAGCGACGAATGTTCGCAGCGAAGGAAACAGCCAGCGATGCGCGTTTAAAGATGTTATTTTTCCAGTCCGAGTTTACGACAATATTATTTTTGTGCTAGAACGACAGTTTCAAAAATTTAGTTACATAAACAATGAGTCACACAACCGAGGCAATATAATAAATGATAAATCATACATCGTACGAATCCTTTATTTTTCTCATCTCGCGCTTGGAATTTGAATCACCTGTTACTCAATACAGCCGAGCTCGCTCGAGTATTTTTCCATCGCAGATCTGCAGCTCATCGCGCATCTCACACGTAACTGCGCGCAGGTACAGGGAAAAGTTCATAAGTACAGAGCGCGCCATTTCTCTCGATATGAAGAAATTTACATAAGCAGAGAAAAGGAGGTAACAGAGCGTTTTACGGATAGCTCGGGCGCAGCACGAGCTCGAGCTATTTAGAGGTGCACACGATCGGTTTGCTGTGTGTGTGTGTGTGTGTGTGTGTCACGGCGCAGGCCGCAGCAGCATACGCACCTCGACTCTATAATGCTCTGCTCTCGTCCATGCAGCCTGTAGTGCTGCGATACTCTCACTCGGCGGCGGCACTCGGTGTCGTTAGAGGAATTCGAAAGTGGAACGTTCGCCCACACGCCGCGCTGCCGCTTTAATGCCGCTGCTGCAGCTATATACCGCCGTACTATCGCCGCGCGATAGCGGTTCGATACTTCGTAGCAACCCCCGGGAAAGAGGAAAGAGACCCACAGTGGCATGGTCGGACGGCGCGACGGCCTTGACGCTGTTTGGCCGCTCTTTTCCTCGTTCCCTTACTTTTTTTCCCTATTATCCCTGCGCCTGCGCCTTCATTCTCCTGTACTACCGAGAAATCTGCCGCTGCGTCACCGCACAGACGTCGGATTTATTTCTTTCTTGTTTTTCTTTGAAACTCGGCGTCTCGGCGAGTGCACCTATCGATTGTTTCCATTTGTTTTGCTTTTATTTTGCAAGCTCCTCCGCTGTCATTCGGTGGATCGATTCCAAGTATCCCTGATCGAATTTAATTGTCATAATTCGCAATTCCTGTACAACACGATTGTTTATGATTCTAGCAGTGAAAAATTTAAATAGCTACAACTTTTAAAGGAGCTTATCGAACTGGCGCGTACGCTACGCGGCAGGTCGGTTAGGCTTATCGGCGTCGACATTCTCGTTAAGGTTGCTCAACATCCACCTCGTGTATCCTTCCTTTGCAGCACTTGTTAAGGCGCGCAGAGCTTGATTTTCCACTCGCTCGTGTTTGACGGATGTATATGTACAGCTGCGTTGGTCAAGGCGCATGTATTTAGCGCCGACAATGTTCCGGGAGTAATTTTTATTCAGAGCATATAGCCAAGCATCTGTAGTATTTAACGAAAACGCGAGTAATTGATCACTCGAGCGAGTGAAAAAAATCTCGGCAACACGCGTATATCGATCCGCGAGCAGCCTAGGCTCATAACTTTCTTTTGCGTGTAAAAAATAAAAATAAAAGAAACAATCGTACAGGAATTGCCAAACGACTTTGACTTTCTCTCGGCTAGTAGCAAATTTTAGCGCTACGGTAAATATTGTTA